CAATTACTAATTACTATGACTTATATGAAAAAGTACATTTTATCTTAAACCTGCAATTCGTTTTAGTAAAATGTTTTAAACAATAAATTTAATATTATAACAACATTTAAGTAATTTAAGATACTGCTTCATTTTCACCTAATATTTCTGAGGCTTAGATTTATGCTCACTAGATGTACAAGAGTACCTTTGAGTTGATGCTCTTTGTTTTTTCCTAGCTTCATAAAAACAGAAGCTGTATAACTGAATGGACATAAACGCATACATACACAAGCACAATCACAGTCTCCCATTCTCGGCTACCTGCCTTCAGTGATCCTGTCTAGAAAATGGTAAAGGTCTCAGCATTGTATGAAGACACCTACATAGGCTTAATATGCTATAACAGTACAGTGGCACCTCGATTAACGAGTTTAATCCGTTCCAGCACTGAGCTCGTCATGTGGAAAACTTGTCTTGTGAAACAACAACAAAACTGACATCGGAGGTGTCTGAGAACCAGCGGGAATGCTCGTTAATCGAAGGAAAGCTCGTCAGTCGAGACATATTTTCTGCGTGTAGCTTGCTCGTCACTCAAAATGCTCGGAACTGGAGACGCTTGTCACTCGAGGTTCCACTGTACTTAAATTGGAAGGATTAATTAGAGGAATATTTATGTTCTGAGATGTCATAGGACATGTTGAGTTGAGACATGGCAGACCAAAGACATCTTTGACTATACAGTACTGTATAGCACTTGGAAGGGATATGAAGACAGGATAGAAGCTGGGATAGGAGGTCGGACTGAAGAATGGTGCCCAACAAAATTGAATTTACACCAATCCTGCAAGAAGTGAAAATGTTACTGCACTGACCAATCCAAATGGATGGACATACAGTACTGCAGATTTAAGAGCTATTTTTATTGGGAAAAATGCGAGTGTTGCAGTAGGCGACGTCTTCTTCATTAGGAAGATTTTAAGAGGAAACAAAATACATATACTGTACATGGCAATTACTGTTCAAAAGCTTCGTCCGGCCTTGCAGATGTGAAAAGCATGCTCGTGTAACAACAGGAATCTCCACTCTGGATTATGACATTTGTAATGGTTTTAATAGGAATTCACCAAATATACTGTATATGTAGGGAACCAATACAATTTGCTATTTGGTATAAATGTGAATTTGCCACTAAATTATCATTTGGGAAGGAAGTTGAAATATTAATTTTCAAAAGTTCATTTTACAGTTATATATGGTCTGGTGTGTGACACTAAAGGACAGATTTAACTGAACATGTCTTTAACATTTATGAGACAATGGATTCATAATGGCCAAACGTACATTATAAATACCAAGTAGGATGAAGTGAAGTGAGGGGTTAGATGTCAGCTGGGGTAGTGGTTGTGATGTAAGCACCAAGTTCTCTCCTGGTGTAGGGCACTGGTTCCCAAACTGGGGCCATGAACCCCTGTTGTGGGGAGAGGGGGGGGGGGGTAACTTTTTGCAATATATAGGGGGCCATAAGCTGAGGTGCCTGGGGAGGTGGGGGGGGGGGGGGTATTTTGCAATAACTAGGGGGTCTTAAGTTGAGGCAATGCTGGTTATGTAACCCGAGGGAAGGTTACCTTACCTTTTCTTGCAGTTACCTTGTGTTGATTCCAGGGGTCAAGGTTTATGCGGCCCAATCTCTGACCAGGCCTCCTGGTAATACCATACTTCAGGCTGCGAGTATGAATCACAGCCTGGTTGATCAGGTATCCTTTGGAGGTACTTATCGAGTTCTCTGTTGAACACTATGAGAGGTTGGCCAGTTATGCCCCTTATGTGTAGTGGAAGCATGTTGAACAGTCTCGGGTCTCTGATGTTGATAGAGTTCTCTCTTAGAATAACTATTGCACCTCTGCTTTTCAATAGGGGTATTCTGCATGTCCTGCCATGCCTTCTGGTCTCATGTGATGTTATTTCTGTGTGTAGATTTGGAACCAGCCCCTCTTAACATTTTCCATGTGTAAATTATTATATATCTCTACCACCTGCACTCTAGAGAATACAGATTTAGGCATTTTAGTTGGTCCCAGTAATTTAGATGGTTTATTGAGTGGATTCTAGCAGTAAAGGTTTTATGCATGCTCTCAAATTAAGAAAATGAGGGAAGGGGATGTTCCTTCAATGCTGGATTTGATATTCACCAGGAGAGAAGAGATGTGACACTTAGTACCTACCACCCTTATGTAATAGTGATTATGGCCTTTTAGAAATAAAGTATGCAATGCATTTTAATCTAGAAGTGAATGAGGAAAATGATCGAGTTGAAACACTTGATTTCAGCAGAGGACACTATGGGAAAACTTAGAATGTTCTTCAATGAATTTGACTGGAAAGAAAGAAGAAAACACCACAAGCGTAGCTCTTATCCTGTAACTACATTCAGGTAATTACAACCCGATAACATGTATGAAGTATAATAATATAAGTTTTAAAATTAATTTTTTTTTTAAGTGGTGGTTTGTTGAGCCACAGGATTCTGTAGCAGTAGTAACTAATCTCCATTTTGGCTAACTCTAATTTACATTTCTTATGGTTTAGGTTTATTCTGTTAATGTACAGAGCTATACTGAGCATTACATGACGGCTACAGTACTAGCAATACTGTACATATTATAACTGCTACAGTACTAGCAATACTGTACATATTATAACTGCTACAGTACTAGCGGTACTGTACATATTATAACTACAGTACTAGCGGTATTGTACATATTATAACCGCTACAGTACTAGCGGTACTGTACATATTATAACTACAGTACTAGTGGTATTGTACATATTATAACTACAGTACTAGTGGTACTGTACATATTATAACTACAGTACTAGAGGTACTGTACATATTATAACTATAGTACTAGTGGTACTGTACATATTATAACTACAGTACTAGTGGTATTGTACATATTATAACCGCTACAGTACTAGCGGTACTGTACATATTATAACTACAGTACTAGCGGTACTGTACATATTATAACTACAGTACTAGTGGTACTGTACATATTATAACTACAGTACTAGAGGTACTGTACATATTATAACTACAGTACTAGCGATATTGTACATATTATAACCGCTACAGTACTAGCGGTACTGTACATATTATAACTACAGTACTAGTGGTATTGTACATATTATAACTACAGTACTAGTGGTACTGTACATATTATAACTACAGTACTAGAGGTACTGTACATATTATAACTACAGTACTAGTGGTACTGTACATATTATAACTACAGTACTAGTGGTATTGTACATATTATAACCGCTACAGTACTAGCGGTACTGTACATATTATAACTACAGTACTAGAGGTACTGTACATATTATAACTACAGTACTAGTGGTACTGTACATATTATAACTACAGTACTAGTGGTACTGTACATATTATAACTACAGTACTAGCGGTACTGTACATATTATAACTACAGTACTAGTGGTACTGTACATATTATAACTACAGTACTAGAGGTACTGTACATATTATAACTACAGTACTAGTGGTACTGTACATATTATAACTACAGTACTAGTGGTACTGTACATATTATAACTACAGTACTAGCGGTACTGTACATATTATAACTACAGTACTAGAGGTACTGTACGTATTATAACTACAGTACTAGAGGTACTGTACATATTATGTACAGTACCTCTAGTACTGTAGTTATAATATGTACAGTACCTCTAGTACTGTAGTTATATTATAACTACAGTACTAGCGGTATTGTACATATTATAACCGCTACAGTACTAGCAGTACTGTACATATTATAACTACAGTACTAGCGGTACTGTACATATTATAACTACAGTACTAGAGGTACTGTACATATTATAACTACAGTACTAGAGGTACTGTACATATTATAACTACAGTACTAGCGGTATTGTACATATTATAACCGCTACAGTACTAGCAGTACTGTACATATTATAACTACAGTACTAGCAGTACTGTACATATTATAACTACAGTACTAGCAGTACTGTACATATTATAACTACAGTACTAGAGGTACTGTACATATTATAACTACAGTACTAGCGGTACTGTACATATTATAACTACAGTACTAGCGGTATTGTACATATTATAACTACAGTACTAGAGGTACTGTACATATTATAACTACAGTACTAGTGGTACTGTACATATTATAACTACAGTACTAGCGGTATTGTACATATTATAACTACAGTACTAGTGGTACTGTACATATTATAACTACAGTACTAGAGGTACTGTACATATTATAACTACAGTACTAGCGGTACTGTACATATTATAACTACAGTACTAGTGGTACTGTACATATTATAACTACAGTACTAGAGGTACTGTACATATTATAACTACAGTACTAGAGGTACTGTACATATTATAACTACAGTACTAGAGGTACTGTACATATTATAACTACAGTACTAGTGGTACTGTACATATTATAACTACAGTACTAGAGGTACTGTACATATTATAACTACAGTACTAGAGGTACTGTACATATTATAACTACAGTACTAGAGGTACTGTACATATTATAACTACAGTACTAGAGGTACTGTACATATTATAACTACAGTACTAGAGGTACTGTACATATTATAACTACAGTACTAGAGGTACTGTACATATTATAACTACAGTACTAGAGGTACTGTACATATTATAACTACAGTACTAGAGGTACTGTACATATTATAACTACAGTACTAGCGGTACTGTACATATTATAACTACAGTACTAGAGGTACTGTACATATTATAACAACAGTACTAGCGGTACTGTACATATTATAACTACAGTACTAGAGGTACTGTACATATTATAACTACAGTACTAGAGGTACTGTACATATTATAACTGCTACAATACTAGCGGTTGTAAAAGATGCACTGAACTGTTTAGCTTAATGAAAGGGACTTGGATGGTTAAAAATAAAAAAACTGACAATCAGAAACAAAATGAATCTATTTATTATGAATAAATTATTTCCAACTCTTTAAGAAGACACACATTTATGTTAACCATTCATGCATTTCCTGCAATCTTAACAACTTTTGTAGACTTGCTATCCATGAGCCTAGACATGTAAACTGGACATTATTGTTGAAAAACCAAATACAGTAACTGCTTGAAGACCACATCCATTGACAAATATTACCAAATCATCTTAAAATGTTAGGAATAATACAGTTACAATGTGTTTCTTAGTAACATCCATTGTTTACTACATATCATTATGATTGAAAAGAACTTGATATAATACTGTCTGCCAGCCACATGTTGCAATACTGTACCCTCAATTACCGTATACTACAGTACTGAACTACATATGTATGCAATCCTTGTATATGATTCAAAGGGGCAGTCATACAGATCATGTAAAGTAATATCTTTAGAACACATTTGAGTCATAAAAATATCACTTAATAAGTTATCAATACTGCAACAGCTAGTCTATATACATGTTCAGATATTCCAATAGCAGAAGAGTAATTATATTTATCTTTTTTAATAAAAACACAGAAGTGGCTCTCAATATAGCTAGTAATATAACAAAACTGTTTAGTTTTCTTTCACCTTTTCTTGTTATTCCAAAAATGTCACGAGCACGATGTGTTTGTCAGTGCTTGCTACAGTATGCTCTATGCTGCACCTGCAAACATTAGTTATCTTACCAGACCAGTTGAGGTCCAGAATTGGTCACGATCCACTGACTGGAGAATGTCATCTAACTTGAACTGTGTGTGTGTGTGTGAAATGTCTTTTCATTCAACCATCTGCTATGGTAAGTCTGGCTGTTTTGGGCATTTTTAATAACATTTAAGTGAGATAACACACCAGAAAACTTACCATAACAGTTTTGCTGTGGTGCTCTATAATTAATGGAAGGACGACAAGATCTCCAAAAATTGTTGTGATTAGCAAGTGAAAAAACATGAAAGTGACTTATTTTGGACCACAAAAATATAAATGTGTCTAATTTTGTTTAAATTTCAGATGGCAGATCTTCCATACTGGAGAAAATTGGGGAACTTTTATGGTATAAATTCTTGTAAGAATTTACATTTTCTGAGGGAGCTCCTTAGTGCCCCCCTCCCCCCCCCCCAAAGCTATCTCGTCAAGATGGCTTCACACTACTGGGCCAGATCAGTTACAGGAATCCTCTCTGGCCTACCAGGGGACCATAGCCAAAACCTGACCTCCTTACAGAGGCACGAGGAGCAAGGGATTATTATATCATCCTCACTGGGAAAGCATCCAGAAAGTCAGAGAAGCCAAACAGACAACTGCAAGGCTCATAGAAAATGAAGAGACAGTGGGCTGGGAAACCTGGCCCAGTGCAACAAGATCGACTGGGCCCAGGAACACTAACCAAATGTCTTGCCACCAAGACCCTGTTAGACCTCCAAAACTCCTGAGCCTGAATATCATTCCACGACATACTGTACTGAAAAAGACAGCAGCCAAAGCTTTGAATTTACAAACGTCATGGACCTGAAGGTAGTCTACAGGTTGGCTAGCTTTGATGACACTGCTGTCAACCTGAGAAATAAGAACTTTGGACCAAGGGGCTACAGAAATAGGAATCAACCAATAAAACATCTACTGCAGCGGAACTGGTGGCACACAGGTAGCAACAACACACTGCCGCCAGATATGGCAAAGAATCCATCCCCAGCTAGACCAACCAAACAACCCCACTGGAAGAAGCCAACTCATTCCTCAGCAGAAAAGAAGGCTACAGACAAACTGCCCACCAGGACTCAAGGAACAGAACCCTTGCCTCTGGAGAAAAGCATGAAGCATCCCAAACCTCTCAGTTGGAGGGTGAGAGCCAACAAAAAAAACACATTAAGAAAATTATCCCAGACCAAAGAGACAACTGTAAGCCAATAGGAGGAAAGAAACACAAACAACTTGTCAAGAGGCCAAAATGGCTTATAAACATAGGGTGAGGCATTCACATGTCTATCTCAAGAATGACAAAGAAGGCTATGTAGAGAAACAGAAACAACTGAACTAAAGCTACAAGAATCATATAAAATCCAGGAGAGACAAAGAGAACAAAAGGCTATCAACAAAATAGAGAGAAATCCTAAATACATTTTCTCCTATGCAAAATATAGAACAAAAACTACATCCAGTATTGGGCTCCTGCAAGAAAGATTGAACTTTTTACAGATGACAACAAAGAAATAAGTGAAATACTAAGGCAACAGTACAATTCCGTTTTCAGTGAGCCATTAAACACACTGAAGATTGATAACCAATATGAATTCTTCATTAATGTGATACCAACATCAAATCATATATCAGATGTCAACCTAACTCCACTTGAATGTGAAGCAGCCATTGATAATATGCCTATGCACTCTTCACCAGGCCCTGATTCCTGGAACTCCATACTCACCAAGAACTGTAAAAAACCACTACTGTATCACAGGCCCTAAACATTTTTTGGAGACAAAACTTAGATGCTAGTGCTATCCCTGACATACTAAAAACAGCAGAAATAGCACCACTTCATAAAGGAGAAAAACAAAGGCAAAAACTATAAACACTAACATCACACATCATAAAAATCTTGAAAGAGTGATAAGCAGTAAGATCACAAAACACATGGAATCACAGTATCTACATAACCTTAGTCAACATGGTTTTAGATCAAGGCACTCTTGCCTAGCACAATTGCTGGACCACAGTTGCTTTAAAATACATGGATTTATTTAATAAATAAATTGTTCACTCCTTTTGTTACCTTACCTTGAGGTTACCTTGAGGTAATTTTGGGTCTTAGCGTCCTCGCGGCCCGGTCGTCGACCAGGCCTCCTCGTTGCTAGACTAGTCAACCAGGCTGTTGGACGTGGCTGCTCGCAGCCTGACATATGAATCACAGCTGTTAGACCAAAGCTGGAAATATGCAGTGGTTGTATGGTCTCCATATATTAAGAAGCACATCAACAAACTGGAAAAGGTGCAATGACATGCCACTAAGTGGCACCCAGAACTGAAGGACAAAAGGTACAAGGAGAGGTTAGAGGCATTAAATATGCAAAAACTAGAAGATAGTAGAAGAAAAAGGCAATATGATCACTACGTACAAAATAGTAACAGGAATCAATAAAATTGATAAGGAAGAATTCTTGAGACCTGGAACTTCAAGAACAAGAGGTCATAGATTTAAACTAACAAAACAAAGCTGCCAGAGAAATACAAGAAAATTCACTTTTGTGAACAGAGTGGTAGACAGTTGGAACAATTTAGGTGAGAGGGTGGAGGAGGCCAAAACCATCAGCAATTTCAAAGCGTTAATAATAACAAAGAATGCTGGGAACACGAGACACCACGAGCGTAACTCTCATCCTGTAACTACACGCAAAGGTCCCTGCAGGACAGAGTCCAAAGGATGGACAACAATTATCTAGACAACCGGGACTTGAAGGATGAAGGCAACACGAAAAGCACACAGGATCACACCAAGTGAATGACTGAGAGGGTGACCCCAATTGGACTAGGAGCTCCCAAGAGAATGCCACCTGGCAGTAGGGAAAGAGGGTGGATATATAGTTGGGAAATGACCTAACTACTGCCTTCCTAATTGTAAAGAGTTATTCCTATTTTCCTTGATGTCTGTTTTCTTTGACTCTACCTGTCTGATGGCTTCTTCTCTTCAATAGAGCGATCTTGCATCCCCCTGCTCCTTGCAGTTCTTCAAGGGGGATCAGGTTTTGAGCTATGGTCTCCGGTAAGCGTTTCATGAATTACAAGGGCCTGATGTGACGTGTGGAGCTATCCAGGTGATTAGCTACAGATAGCCACCGAGGAAGTCTTTCCAGAAAACCTTATTTTGAAGAGCAATACAGGGTGTGGATACGTATATATGGGATAACGTCACAAGGTCAGTCCAGCTAAGCCAACTAGACTAAAATATTTTCAAGAGACTAAAGGGGTATAATTACTAACATGACAAAGGAAACACTTACAGTACTCACAGGTACTTTAAGTAATTTGAATCCACATACTGAAAAGTGATTAAAATATATATATAGATTATGAGGCAAAAACACATGGAAACTGAGAAAATTATTTGTTGGTAACTTTTTATAACAAAATATTTCTGTTGTCTGTTTATTCCGTGTACAATATTATTATATAGGACAAAAACATTGTTTCACAGCTTCTGGAGAACGCAGCCGTTCATCTATCATTGTAGCCCATGCCTTCTACTCGCTGCCATAGCAGTCATTAAAATAGTACAATATAAAGAATGAATGCATATAAGTATGCTATTTTTATAGCATAATAATTTATTATGCTATAGTAATTTTTCTTTGTAAAATTTTATAAAGTAATTTTTAAAGAATATGTAAAATATTCCACAATTTTTAAAGAATATGTAAAATATTTGTGTGAACTAAAAGGCAGCTATTGTATCACTTAAATTTAACCTGTGGTAATAGATCTACAGGTATTTACTAAGTACAGTACTGCAAAGGTTGGTAATGATTTGCTTGTAATAAAATGTGGCAAGATAAGTAGCGAGAAGATACGTGAGATTGGCTGCTGTTATATATGTAAAGAAGTTGTATTTTGATTTAACGGTCAATCCTTACATGTGCTGTGGCCATGCCAAGAAAACATTTTCTCTTATGCACATGCATAAATGCAATACAGTACTGCATAAGCTCAATACAGCTACACAATACTTTTTAGTCTATCAGCATTGCAACACTTTTTAGATTCATTTTTTATAAAAAAATCCAAACTTGATAAGTCTAATGCTCTCTTCTTAGCATTTTTATGTTGAAAGATAATGAACTTTTTTCTTATTGCCGTGTTAAAAACTAGTACGGCAATTTAATGCTTCCTGTGAATCATTCAAGTGTTACTGCATCAGTAAATATTTGACGCGAGTCTCGAGTGGTTTCTTGTTGACATAACTCAGGGTGGTGTCTCTTCATGTGTACACGCAGGTTACTACTTTGAGCTGAGCAATAGTCACATTTTGGGCACTGATACGGCTTCTCTCCAGTATGAATACGCAGGTGTTTACGCAGCTGTGAAACATCTTGGCCTTTATATCCACATATTTGACAGCATCTCTTATCAAACGATACATTGACATCCTTAGCTTGCTGTTGGGATCCATCCATGTATGTCACACATCCATCTCCTGAGAGAACAGGTCTCTGGTACGAGTGACGACTATGGCCATCTCCAGGGGGCACGACGGGCTGGTGTGGTGGATGACTGTGACTGCCTTGCTGCCCCCACCCTGATCTCACATGCCCCTAGAAGAGAGGCCTTAGTCAATTGAAGGACCATAAGTAAGCTTCTTATGCAAAGGACAATATTTCTCCAAATTTGCATACTGTCTCAGAATAATGATCAGGATGCTAAAGCTCATGTTCATAGTTTGAAAGACACAACTAAGCAGAGATCTATATTTTCAGAGAAGCCTTTAAATTCTCGCTTCCTGTAAGTTTTATCACCCAAAAACTTCAACTTCAAAAATTGCCTGCAGCCATCAACACTTGCAGTTTGTGTTATTCTTAACACATTCCAGTCAGCCATATTAGCCTGCTATTGTTTTCTGAGAACATGCAAGTCCCACACTTGAAGCCAAATTATTATTTTTGCCGCATAAACTTTGTTTCCATTTTAAACATTTTATTTTATGGTCAAAACCAAATGATTGGAGAGTATATTTCATTTGTAAATGATTTGATGCATTTTTGTGTGCCAATTTTGTATTTATTCTGCATGGAAAAAAAAAAGATATGCAATGTAGTTTATTCTACAGGGGATAAGGGGTATATAGCCAAACTATTGGTATTTCATTATTATGCCCAAGCATATAAGGTTATAAATATTCAAAACAGTTTACCAACAAAGATTTAACTAATTTTTCAAGTTTGCTCATACCTGATGGATTCCTAGTGCACTTATAACTAACAGAATAGAAGGCGATAATAAACTAGTTAATGCTCGCTATAAAGTAAACAAATGGAACCGCCTTCCCACCGAAGCCATAAACGGCAAAACTCTGCTGGGTTTTAAAATACAGTACAGCTGGAAAAGATCATCAAGGCAAATGGGGGACCTTTGACAAGCCATCAGCTTCCTGTCCTTGTCGAGGCCACTAGTATTAGTAGCCCTCAGGTAAATGTTGGTATAACGTAAATATGCAAAAGAGAATACAGAACCAAATTACCCGGTCCTCTTGATAGGGTAATACAATTCCTCTAATTATACCACTGTCGAATATATATTGCTGTGTTTGTCCTTGTGTATATGCAAGAAAATCACAATCCATATTGTGAACCTTTAATACTACAAGTTGTTTCTACAAATTATATTTGATACAAGTTACATTTGACAATATATTTTATAACAGCTTCTCATGAAAGATAAACAATTACACAAAGGTACTCAGAGTACTTTAAGCTGAAACTATAATATTCTGAAGATTACGAAGAAAATACAATACTACAGACTTCAATTATCATATAAAGTCACGAAAAGTCCAAATGGATCAATAAAAAAAAAATTATTTATGACCTACAGTATATAGTAACAAAAATATTTTGCATACTGTACAGTTAAAACACGTGTTCATACTGTACAGTTAAAACACGTGACCGCGACCAGGCCTCCACCCCCAGGAAGTAGCCTGTGACAGCTGACTAACAACCAGGTACCTATTTTACTGCTAGGTAACAGGATCATAGGGTGAAGGAAACTCTGCCCATTGTTTCTTGCCGGCGCCCGGGATCGAACCTGGGACCACAGGATCACAAGTCCATCGTGCTGTCCGCTCGGCCGACCGGCTCCCCTACTCCGGCTCTCGGGACACTGCTAGTTCACCAAGCCGTGACTCTAACCCCAACATGACTAGTACCTTTTCAAAATGTCTATCAAAATGTCTATCCCCAATTACATTAGGAATGGGTTTGTTCAATTGTATACTCCTGGTTGGAGGGTGTTTCTTCTGGGTCTGTGTGGGAGTGTATAGGCTATTGTACCTCTGCTTTACTGTTAAGCTTTACTGATTGCTGGTGCTTTGTGTGCACACAGGAGCCTTGCTCATAAATAGAGCACTGAATGGAATGTTTAACTCCTTCATGAGCAGCACCTCTCTTGCTCTCCATTCACCCCCTATTAATTTCTATCTTATCCGAGTTTTCTTGGGTGGGCTGAGCTTAAAGTAGGGATACTTAATGGGAGATTAGGTAATTTATCATAATTCTTGTTGGTTTTTAAGATATCAAAAATACATGGATGGCAAAATACTTAGGAAATTGTTCACAACTTTTGTTAGACCGAAGCTGGAATATGCAGCGGTTGTATGGTGCCCCTTATCTAAAGAAGCACATCAACAAACTGGAAAAGGTGCAAAGACATGCCACTAAGTGGCTCCCAGAACTGAAGGACAAGAGCTATGAGAAGAGGTTAGAGGCATTAAATATGCCAAAACTAGAAGATAGAAGAAAAAGAGGTGATATGATCACTATGTACAAAATAGTAACAGGAATTGATAAAATTGATAGGAAAGATTTCCTGAGAACTGGAACTTCAGGAACAAGAGGTTTAGATTTAAACTAACTAAACAAAGGTGCCGAAGAAATATAAGAAAATTCACTTTCGCAAACAGAGTGATAGACGGTTGGAACAAGTTAGGTAAGAAGGTGGTAAAGGCCGAAACCATCAGTAGTTTCAAAGCGTTGTACGACAAAGAATACTGGGAAGACGGGACACCACGAATGTAGCTCTCATCCTGTAACTACACTTGGGTAATTACACACACAGTGTGAAGAATAATAAATAAAACACAAATACAAACATGACCTTAAGAGAGCATAATAATTTACATCACTGATAAATGCATTGAAATTCAAATTCAGATTTTATCATTCAACTTACCTGGTACTAGGATAGGAACCACCTGGCATTTTATCTACAATAACTTACCATAACACAATGCATGAAGAAACCTAGGGATGAAATTTTGCCAGTAGATCATCATATTATCTTGAATCTTTACCGAAAAAAAGTAAAATTTCATGCACCTACAGTAAAATATCTATCTATGTCCATCTTGCATTTAATTCTTAACACTGTTACCACTATAAAGTTTATTCCTTAAATCATTGCAAATATCTATGTACAGTATATATACTTATGTAAATAATTTTTTTAAATGGGTAATTTCAGAGAAAACTTTTCTGGAATGGCTGCACTTTGACAGACTTTCTTTCCTTCTATATTAACCACGGAAGAAAGGAGATATAAGATATTACAATTTATTAATGCAACTAATGTGGAAAATTTACTATGAGAGTCAGACAAGCCTTTACTGGTAAAAGATTTGCTTCAAATTTCTACATGTTCATCACCATTGTTTTAACTCCACTTTCTGACAACTTTTTATGACCACCTAATAACCTTACCTCCTCACATACTGTTGTCTGTCCATCACCACTTGCCAATCATTTATTAAAACTGGCTAACCCACCATCACCAACTGATAGCCCTTCATCACAACAGTCCTGACAATTTCTAGTGTGGTGAATGATAGAAAACTAAACCTCAGCTGAGGTCTGCATGGTGATAGATGGGGTGGGCACCATGAAACCAAACCCTGAAGTATCTGCCTCAGGACACAATAGGATCCACATTACTTAGTCTCAGTGTCAGCAAATGCTGACCAACAAGAAAAGGTACAGTGCCTTCTGAGACAGAACCATTAGGTTAGATCATGCATGAAAACTTCAGGTGATCCAGATCAAGATTCAGGAGGTAAATGCGAGACCTTTCCCATCACATGATGAAAATGGTCGTAGAATTGCAGAAAATTTGACAGTGGGAGAGAGAGAGAGAGAGAGAGAATAAGGTTATCCTGGCACTGTAATTTCAGTCCAACCCCACTCAAGCTGACAAATGAGGGAACATTAACAAGGGTTTCTCCTAGTTTATGAGGAAGTTGAAGCATGCCAAATGGGAAAGCATAACACCCCCGACTAACAGACAAGATGAATGACTGGGAACCCAAATCATCCAGTCACTGAGATAGGCCAGAATCAGGACACCTTGAAGATCAAGCTCCTGAAGAATCATTTGAGTAAGTCTGAGGAAGATCTTGAGCATTAAACTAAAACCAGAAGGAAGAGCCTGAAAGTGGTAGCCAAAAAGTTGCACTTGACAACCCCAGCCAATCCTAAATTGAGGAGGGATGGGAAACATTCCAGTAAGTGTGTATCTGATGGATTAAAACAAAAATGCCCAGACTGGGCTGAATCCACCAGGCCAACCTGGGACACAATGGTCATCCAGAATTCTAGACAAGGAAAATGTGCCTTGAGGAAGGAGAGATTCAGAATAATGTGAGGCTTCAGAGAATCTAGCATTGGAATGGAGAAGAACCAAGACACCACCCAAAAGAAGTGTGTCATCTAATGATAGCATTGTTCACCAAATTGCAAATAACACTGCAGAGTCAAGTAGAGGTTGAGGAGGAGTCCAAAACACCCAATGAGGATTGGAGGACCAATACAGTACAGGTACCACCAAAGACTCGGGAAAAATGTGGTGGAAAGCCTGGGCATCCGGGGCTAAGCATGCCTGAAGGCATTGGGATGCCTCCACACTACTATGTCTTAGTTTTATCATGAAAGGGCTGAAAATAGGTACCCAGGTGATCCCCAAACTAGGGTGATCTTCAGAATGACCAAGTCAACAAAGAGAAAGGAGGCAGATCTATGTTATTTGGAGTGACTACTGCATTAAAACCCTCCCACCTTGATCAGTAGCCTCAGAGAATCTACCCAAGACTAAGGAAACTAACTAAAAAAAAAAAAACCTTACTACAGTATTTTTTTTATCAAACATTGGTGAAGCAAACCTTAACTGTCATGGTACAGCATGGTAACTTTAACACAGCTTTCACAAGCTACTAGAACTTATAATAAGAGACTTTTAATATAGCTCTGCTTCCTATCTAATGCTTTACTAGCATTGACATGTACAGTATTGTAGTTTATTACAACATTACAAAGAAAGTGAGTTTGAAAAGTGAAGTTATTAACAAATATTTGGCTTCAAACTTCTGCAGTTGGATACAGATAGATATCTTAATATTGTTCATATACAACACAATGCACCAAATAAAGAGCATGTCTCCACTCACCACTTGCTGGAGACTACGATGATGGGGGTTGAGGCGATCTTGCTGTGAAAAGCCTTGGAGATGAAAAGAAGTCATGTCTCCTTCTCTTCGGTTACCATCCCAACTCTGACCCGCATCCTGTAGTTAAGACAGTACAGCAGAGTTAATGGTGTGGTCCCCAGCCACAGAGTTAATGGTTTTACAGGTGTGGTCCCTAGCTGGACACATGGATATCTGCTACCATAATGTTTGGTAGCTTGTTCCTTAACACTTCCCTGGAGTTTCCACTTGGAATTACGGGCGGTTTAGATAAGCGCTTGTCGGATCACGACGTAAATTTACGGAACCGTGTTATAGTGGGTATTTACTACTCGATCGACTTGGGGTTTGTATGAATATGTTTGCCATTAAATTTTCGTTTTCTCTAATAGGCACAGTGCCTATTTGAGAAAACGGCAATGTATTGTAACTTAGAGGAGAGACTATTGAGTTGGTGACACAACGAGGGTAATTGCCCACTCCACACACTCTTGTGTTGGCCGCGATCATGATTCTACATTTATATGCATATGTCTGTGTAGAGAATTTTATTCCGAACACTATACAAACAAAAAAAAACGGTGTGAAACAAGTATAAACTTGAAAAAACATGAGCAAAGTAAAAACTTTTTACGCTCACGGGTACAAACACGCATAAGATTTTATTCGCCGCAAATTTATTTGACGCTCTGTTGGCCAATTCTACCCATGTTCTTATAGAACTTTCTATGTTATATATAAAACTTTCTATTGCGAACACATTGCTATAAAAATGAAATACGTAGCTCGAGAAATAATGTCAGGACAGTGAAATAAGTATAAACTTTCAAAGCGCTGCATCACAACAGTGTTGTCGCTGCTGAAATCACGGCTAACGCTTCGCCCAGTTCCCACACTCGTACGGAACATAATTAGACATTGATAGGCATATGTCTGGGTGGGGAATTTTATTGCGAGTTCAGTGATATCAAAATAAGTGCTGTAGGATGACTGTGAGGCTGGCAACAAACGAAAGAGTATGAACATTTACTTCCTGTTTGGGTGTCACGGCGAGTCATCTTCGTGTTTATTTACTTCGTGGTGGGATAGCAAATGCTTTGGTGACATTTTATGCATATGATCTTGTAGAGAATTTTATTGCCAACGCATTGATACAAAAATGAAAAACGTAGCTCGAGAATTGATGTTAGGAGCGTGAAAAGTTTATACACTTTTTTGTGTTTACGCTTGAGCCCCCAGAACGCCGCGCGCACAAGGCGCTTTTTTTTTTTTCACAAGTGCCGCGCTCACTAAAGTGTTAAGAATAATAGAACTTTAAAATGTAATATCATTGGACACGGTAGCACATTCCCTGGGAACCACCGACCATTACAGTCCGATATTAATATGAAATATAATATGCGGTATAACTGTCTGAAATTGTTAGTGGCCTTTTCATTTGATTTCAAGATACTGTACAGTAATTGGTTTTGGTGGAAGAATATTGGCATCAGTGTATCTTGTGCTAAAACATTTATTAATATAATGCACTTTTCTGGGTGTTTACTCCTGTGTCATTCTACAGATTAAGAACCATAGATACCTGGAGATGGTTCTGGAAGTTCTTCCACTCCCCGAGCCCAGCCTGAGACCAGGCTCGACAGATCTGCCTTCAAAACAAAAACAGAAAAAATATAATTAAATACAGTAATGTATATACCTTTATGTTGGATGATCAAATATTTTTCTTAAGACTTTTGTAAGTAATTTGTATTCCAACTGTTTTTCTTTAGATACCTTTCATCTTTTAAGATGTTACTGAAGTACAGTGGTACTGTACTTTTGTTTATGATTGTAATCCATTCCCAGAGACGCGTTGTCAACCAGAAATTTGTCAACCTAAACGAAATTCCCATAAGAAATAATGTAAAATGAATTAATCCATTCCACACCCCCAAAAATATTTGCATAAAAATACATTCTATACCGAACAACACTCATTTTGTACTAGCTACAATACAGTACTGTATGTATATCTTACCTTGAGTGAGGACTCTTGTTGGCGTATGGAAGATGGTGAGGAGGAGGAGAGGTCTTAGTGTTTGTAAGGGGAGTCCCCTTTTATTATAACAGCAGTGATGACATTTCTGGGTACTGTACTCTCTTAACCTACATTTTGCAGACATACCACTAGGACCTGGTTGTGGCTCACTGCTTGCTTGTCTTACTAAGAACCTGTCAATAGACACTTGTTTTTCCTTACGTTTTAACACTTGTCTGTAGTGAGACATCACATTGATTCACTATGAATGATCTCGTTTTTCCTTTATCGTCATCAACACAACTATTTTCTTTGGTTGAACTTTACCATGTACTTTCTTGGGACCCATGGCATGATATATAATAAGAACTTTTATGTTAAAAAAGCAAGCAAACCATGAAATTTTTCACAAAGAATTCAAGCATGGCCGCAGTCATCACTAAGTGGGATAGACTTCTAAACAAATTGAGAGCGACTTGCCTCGTGCCCCCTGCACCATGCGCTCGTTCGACCCATACGTGTTTGAACAGACGTCGTCTTCCAAGTAAACCATCGTACACCAATTCAAATTTTACGATAAATTTGACATCAACCAAAAAATTCGTACTCTAGGGAAGTCATCAACCGAGGTTCCACTGTATTGAATATTTGAAGTTCCTGGGATTTTTGTAACTTTGTTCTATTCAAGAGTGCAAGTGCTATAGAATTTAGATTTCATTTACTGGATACAAGCAATGTTACCAGATGAACATAAAATTCAACACACACACACACATTACCTATATGGTGTGTGAGGTACTCAAGATGAATAAGAAGCTACTAACCCCTTGTATTCCTGAAGGCCCTGGTAATGCCTGTGAGACAATCTCTTCAAATGACTGTGGGTGAGTAGAATATTGCTGAGTAATAGATGGAAGAAGAGGAGCGCCCCCGGTACCATCGGGTAAAGAGGACTCGTACTTCAGCCTCGTTTCGTTGTTTCTTATTGTACCTTGTGATGAACCATCGGACTCGACCATTTGGACTTCTAAAGCATTGCATGTGTCGGGTAGATGCATATCCTCCTCATCTTCATATTTAACATCCTCTTCCTCTACCTTTATTATAGGGTTTTCCACATCATGCTAAAACAAAAAAATATCATGTAACTTCCCTGATGATTCTTGTGAATACAGTATTCTTTCACAAGAATCAATAGAATACTGATTCATGTGAAAGAATATTGTACTGTATATAGTTTAATTTATTTTATCGATTAGGGGTTCATAGGAAAGAGTGGGAAAAGGATATCAGTAATCAGATATTATATAAAATGGAAGTAATTAACACATGAAACTTATCTTCAAAACTTGTAATTTATATACTGTATTACTTCACTTCTTTTCTGTACACACACTAACATGAACACAGAATTTCACATATGAGCTTGTTGGATTGATAAATAATGGAGGTTAAGATTAATATAAACATTTTTCAATAATTTCTAAACTTACAGTTTCCTGATGATCATTGCAAGAAACGGGTAGAGAACTTTCCCCAGGATTTTCACTTGTATTATTTGGTTGTTCTTGAGCTTGCTGGACACTTGCTATTACATTTTCCCTCGTATTATTTTCACTCTTCTCAGAATGGTCTTCAGATACAGCAGTTTCAACAATCCCTTCGATCTCAAGTCGAGAGTTGCTCTTTTTTCTGGGTGGACTTGAATTACTGTTTGTGGACTCATCTTCGTGTCTTCTTCTCTTTGCGTGTGGACTTCCTTCCTCCCAGCTCTTGACAGGTTTGTGTGTGTTCTCTCCAGGATGAGGAGGTGGAGACTCATCGGGAACAGCTAAACCTTTAATTCTTAAACATTCTGCAGCTTTAATCAGCCCTGCCAGCTCATTCTGTAGTACATTTACTTCACCTAAGTACATATAATTTAACAATGCTTCTAAGTCTTGGTGACGAATGTCTTTAAGCACAATGATTGGGTGCTTACATGGTGTCTTCTCTATTATATCAACAAAGTAATCACTGCATGTTGAAAGGACAAATTTATGCACACTGTAGAATTTGCCAGCACAAGCAATTGTGATGTCACTGTAGGTTTTCTGAAACGCAGAAATATAGTACAGTATGTTATATACAGTATATACAATATAAAATATACAGCACATACAAAATAAGACACTCAGTACTGTAATATTATGACAAATTTGTTATAAATGCAAATGCTGTAACTTAACTCGTTTTCTTTCTGTACATGTACTGCATTGTATAACATGGGCAAGTACTGTATATGGAGAATGAAGCAAGGAGACAAAGACTAAATGCCTGTAATGTATGAATCATGTCGTTTATACTTTACAATGCTTCACCTCAGCTGTTGATAATGATAATAATAACAGTAATAATAATAATAATAATAATAATAATAATATAGTAATAACAATTATAATCATAAAGAATTACTAACCTTGTCTCTCATTGAAGATAAAACTTGCAAAAATGAAGTGCGATGATTATTCCAACGGAGGGAGAGCAGCCCTTCGCCGGCCATGACTGTGGATGTGTGTGTACCAGAATGGTTCCTATAATGAATGCAAACCATTTATAAATTGACATTACAAAGTCTAAGGAAAACATCCCAAACATAAATAAGCAATTTATCAGACATCTAAACTGCTGCTATACAACACAGTAGAGAATGTACTCAGTATTATGAGCCACAAAATAATGTATACTGGAATGGCAAACCCAGCATTAGTTGATATCATCATAATCCATTAATGAAAATTTAACATCTTAACAGCTAAGAACCCAAGGTATAGTCACTGATTTCTGGACATGAATACCTATAATGCTTACATCAGTTTATGGAATCAACCCCCTAACATGACACAGATAAACACCCAGAAATGTGGATTATAGGTAACCAATCATGTTAATACAAAACTGTAGGTATATCAGGTTAAGTTACATCGGAGAAGGCTTTCTTTGTAAGGGGACTAGGGACTGGAACACATAGCAGAAGGATTCAGCCAATGGTTGTTCTATTCTTGGGTGCCAAACCTTGGTATAGTGTCAATTTACTTGTATACAGTTTTATGATTAATTGTAAAGCAAGATACTGTATCATAAATGATAACAGAATAAATAAGCCTTCTTTCTGCAATCAGCTTGTTTTCTTTTAAAATAAACTTAACCATTGAATGCAAACAAAACTGGCACAAATGCTTTCTATAGTTACAAGTCACTACAAAAGACTTTAACAATTTAGTGGCGAGCCATTTCCCACACTGAAGAGCATGGAAAGGTGTGCATTGTGTCACGCAGTAGTCTCTGAAGTACAGTATCCTACATTGGTGCCATATTGCCGTTTTGCATTTTCTTGTCTAATTTGTATTGTTGTTGATGTTGAATTGAGGGCTGTATGCACCCCATAGAAGCAGGCCTCAAACTGGTAACAAATAAAAGTTTATATGTCACAAGAGAACAAAGCCAATTATTTTATTTTTTATTTATTTATTTATTATATATACAAGAGTTCTTTCATTCTTGTACAGCCACTAGTACATGTAGCGTTTCAGGCAAGTCCTTAATCCTACGTTCCCCAGAATATGACCTGTCAAATCATTAAACAACCAGGTACCCACTTTACTGTTGGGTAAACAGGCTACAGTTAAAGATAGACGTCCAGTAAATCCTCCCCGGCCAGGATACGAACCCAGGACAAAGCGCTCACGAAACGCCAGGTGAGTGTCTTAACCACTACATCATGGGGACTTAACATAACATATGCCCGAAACGCTTTGCGTAATAGTGGCTTTAGGCATTGTATGTACTAGCTCTACCTATAAGTCTACCAATCCTTGTAAAAATTTATTGTATGTATGTACCTTACCTAAATAAAATTGTATTGTATAAAATTGTATTGTATTGTATTGTATAAATTATGGGCACAGCTAAGATAGTTCTCATAGCTATGAATGGCTTATTTTTTTTTAAGGAGAATGGCCAATATGAAGTGAGATGAAGTTATAATCAAATTGGGAATTTTATTTTCTCAAACATTACAACAAGTTGTGTTGGTGTTTAGGGAATCGTGACAATATCAGTCACTGCAGAGGAGGGCTGCATGTTGGGCCCAGACTGGACATTTTGTGATCGTTGTCCGCTATAACTACTTGTTTGTTGGCTCACAGCAGCACCAATGTGGCGTGAACACGTCGCAAGGACAACATTATAATAATCTCTTGGTCTATGGTACAAAACTTCTCAGGTAGGTATGAAACCCACAAAAATGAGGACCAAAAGCAAAGAGTTTGTCTCAACTTACGTGTAAACAAGCCAGAGTGGAGGGAGCTCGAGTGTAACTACTTAATTAAAGTTACGGGATGAGAGCCACGCTCGTGGTGTCCCGTAACTACACTTAGGCAATTACACTCCAGTTCCCGCCACTCTGGCTTGTTTATAAGAAAGATGAGACAAACTCTTGCTTTTTGCTCTTCATTTTCTGTGATTTTCATGCCCACATTAATGGGGTTTGGTCGTTTCGGATACGAGACGATTCGACGTAGCTCGTTTTCTGTTCGTTCGAAGCGTATATATTGTTATTCTAGGCTGTATTAGCTTAGGTTAGGATGTATTGGGCTCAGTTACGTAGGTTAGGTTTGTGTGGGTTAAGTTGGGTTGAGCTAGGTTAGGTTAAGTAACTTTCAAAATCAGCTGGAAAATCGTTTTGTGTACAATGTGACTTGTATCCATATTAGTAATTTGGAGGCTGGAGGCCCTCGCTACACACTCATATACACACAATAAAACAGGTTGTAAAACATGATAATGCATTAACTTCAGTTATTTAAATTCATGACATTATAAATATTAAACAAAAAAAATCAACAAATATTTATATTGAGAATCCCTTGTACTGCAGACGACGTCCTCAGCCGCCGAGATCACCTGAGGGCCATCATCTGAATTTACCTGCATTTACCTGAGGGCCACTAAAACTAGTGGCTACGACGAGAACAGGAAGCCGGCGGTTTGTCAAAGGTCCCCCTCATTTGCCCTGATTGTTTTATCAAGCGGGATTTTTAAATTCAGCCGAGTTTTGGCATTTACGGCTTTGGCTGCTCTCCTATTGACCTACTGCTGCCCTCCTATTGACCTACTGCTGCCCTTCTATTGACCTACTGCTGCCTGCCTATTGACCTGCTGCTGCCTGCCTATTGACCTGCTGCTGCCTGCCTATTAGCCTCCTGCTACTCTCGTACTGACCTCCTGCCCTGCTGCTCTATTGTCTAGTCTTTTGGTAAGCTTTACATAAGTTTCTACCTTCAGCACTACTCCTCTAATCTTCTTTACTCTGATCATCCCCACTTTGGCTACCCCCACTTACTCTGACTATCCCCACTCTGACGATCCCCCACTTTGACGAGGAGAATTTCCTGCCCTCCTAACTTACCAGAGGACCCTTAACTTACTGTTTTGGAAAAAAATCCCAAATTTATTTTAAAAAATTTCATTTTCAAATCACGTCCATTTTCGGCCATACGTGCAAATGCCAAATTCAGACGTAATTTGTTAGAGGACAGGTTGGGCAGAGTAGCCATGGCTGTTCTGCTGCTCCTAGGGAAGTACTGTAGTTACAATGTCCAGAGAGATGCCATAAGCATTTTGTGATATATATCTCATTAGTCTAGGGTCCTATTCATTTTCAGTCTGCTACAAGATCATGTTGTACTCACCTAATTGTACTCGCCTATTTGTGCTTGCGGGGGTTCAGCTTTGGCTCTTTGGTCCTGCCTCTCAACTGTCAATCAACTGGTTGTGGTAACTGAGGTGTGCATTGTTATTCCCTACACATAACACCTTACATTTTCAACATTAATGTGCCCCTGCCAGTCTTCAGACAATTTATGGAGCTTGTGTAGATCCTTTAGCTAGGTCATAATATAAGCTTTTGCTTCCTAATTTTCCACAGATCTTCGTGTCATCTGTGAATCTGATTGTGATTTGTAATGTTGTCATTTATGGTATTGATGCAGAGCATACTGTATTTCCAAAAAAGTTAGCCCTAAAATTATGCCTTGCAGTACTCCACTTGCAACATTTTTCCAGCCAGATATTCTTCTTTTAGAATGAACCTTTGCTTTCTTTGTTTACCCATTGTTTTATCTGTTCATGTATTTTACCATTAATTCCATGTACAGTACTTGCTGCTTCTGGGCCAACCATTCATGTGGCACCATGTTAGAAGCTTTAGATAGTCCATTTACACTTCATTGATGGAAATCATTGGTCTGTGTAGCTGGTTACCATTTACAGAAATGGGAGCAGGTTTATTAAGCAGGATTTGTTTTTGACAAAATTATGTTGTGATACTTTTACAAGGCTGCACTGTGAGAGGCAGGACAATTTCCTCCCTGAGAATTCTCTTTAATGGCTTGTAATTGTATAAATCTAGGCTGATTGGCCTGTAGTTTTTGGATGAACTACCAGTACAATACTTCTGCCTTTCTTGAAGATACAGTATAAGCAATTTATGCATGAAGTATTTTCAATCTTTGGGTACTTTGTAAGGCTTTTCTGAATAGAATTTTCAGTATAGACTTAGTTAATCAGCCAGCTTCTTTAAGATTTTCAGCTAAATTCCATCCACACCTGGAGCTTTTATTCAGATTACAGTATTTATGATCTTGGAGTTAAATGCCTGGCTTTTCCCTGTGTGTGTGTGTACCAAGAGTGGGTTGGAAATGGTCATGAATGTTGCATGGATTTGCATAAAAAATATGTATATAAAACAGCTTTACTGCATCAGATGTGATGCAATCAAATATATTGCCTGTTTAAACCAGAATATATAATACCTATTTTATAAGACAACTATTGCTATAACCTTTGTTTGTTAATCTTCAGGATTTGTAAGTGAATGCAATTATATATTATTGTTTGATAGCTACAATTCAAATCTGAATACTTATCCTTGACTGATTTTTTATTGCCGATATTCACAAGTTTGAAAATCTATTACATGCAGTAAGGAAAATCAGTCTTTACTAATAAATTCTGTACTGTTTAGTCAAATACAGTTCCTTATTATGAATTGCTATTTATTTCAGGTATATGATGGCAGAAGACAACACAGCTTTGAGAACCTGGCAGTGCTTGCAGATGCTGCTTTATACCTGTACCTTGATAAAGGTCACCAGACCACATATTGTCAACCCACTTGAATTTGCTGCTAAACAAGCAAACTGCAACCGATCCAAACACAAAATGAAAGTACAAAGAGTGCCGTTAAAAAGAGTGTACCGTAGTGCTTCAAAAATGACTGGCTGTGAACCAGATGTCAATGCTGCTGTTTTTGTCAGTGAAAAAAATGCTATTTGCCTTGGACTGAAGCGTGGTCAGTGGCAGAATGTTGCATATTGCCATGAAAATCCAGCAGAGAATGGTGTATCTAAGGATCCTGTTAATGATGTTAGAAGGAGGTGGATTATGGTTGAAGTTAATGCAGATGTGCCGGAGGATCAGTGTTATGTTTCTCCTCTGCTTTTTCATAATTTGCAACAAGGTAATGACAGTGGGGAGGTTTTTATAGAATTTGACAGCAATTATGATGCAGTTTTGTCAGATGCAGTCAGAAGAATTTTGATACTGTGGAAATATGTTCATAGAACTGATATTAGTAATGCATGTAAGAGTATTGTACAGTATTCTCCAGATGTTGCCAGTGAAGTGCATGTTCAAGTTGTAGAATCCACAAAGTACAAATGTGGAAGTGAATTAGAACCACTTCTTAAAGGTCATTTTAGAATTCCAAAATTAATTTCTGTAGAGGATGTCTTAGTTGTTCCCATTCCTAGCCATCTTGCCGAAGAGTTCATTGTGAGTAATTCTTTAATACCTCCAAAATATATATTTATCAAGATATCTGGTGTAAAAGGAAAATATGGGAGTGCGACCAAGCAGTGTGTCATTATGAAGATGGGCATCACGAACCTGTATCTTGCCGGCACAACCCAGTGTTGTCTACCTTTACTTACAGAAAGCTTTGATGATGAGGGGGATTTGGATGTTCCTCCAATTTTAAAAGAAAACTTTGTTAAAGTTAAGAAAGTATTACAGATGGAAATGAAAGAGAGAAGACAGGTGTCTCCTGTTGTGTACAGTAATTTACATCATAAAGGGAGCAAGAATACAAATACCAAGGTATCGAGTGATATCTTACATTCCAAGGCTATTGCACATCACTTTAAAGATAATGAAGATATAGAAAAGTGTGTTTGTGAAGCTGAAGATGGCAGTGCAGATGGTGTGACTATATTGTTGTTGGGACAGCCAGGTTGTGGGAGTAAGCGAATTATTAAACTGGCAGCATCAGCTCTTGGACTAGGAGTGCTCTGGACTAACTCGTGGCACCTTAAAGGGGATGCTAGTGGTGGAACAGAGGCAAGAGTACAACAGGCTTTTTTGAGAGCCAAGGCACAAGGACCTTGTGTGTTTGCTCTCTTGAATATTCACTGCATTTCCAAGGTTTGTAAAGTTTTTCCTTACAAAAGGCAAAATTGTTAATGAAAATGTTTTCCCATGTTTGGAGTTATAAGTTAGTCTAAGTTTCTCATTGAAGTTCGTAAATATATGTTGTTGAATGCTCACACAGGATCGTGATGGTGGTGAGGATGCTCGTGTTGTGTCTACACTCAGGGAGGAAATTATCAAATTGTCACGAGAGAACACACAGGTGCTCCTGGTGGCCACAGCTCCTGATCGCACTTCAGTCTCAGGTGAAACTATTTTGTACATTAGTTATATCACAAAGAATTTTTGTACCAGTCGCCTAGTCCAATAGTTATGAATTGTGTGCTTCAGAACACCATTATCCAATGTTTCTTCAGATTTACCATCTTTTCAAGAGCAGTAGAGAGCACTGAGAAATATCATGAGTCACTGAGCTATTGGAGTTAGTATATAAAAATAATTAAAATAAATGGGAAGAATACCTGGAAAATAACTATATAATATCAGACAATCAGTATAGTTTTTGATCTGGAAGATCCTGTGTAACAAATTTACTCAGTTTCTATGATCGAGCCACAGAGATTTTACAGGAAAGAGATGGTCGAGTTGACTGCATCTATTTGAACCTAAAAATGGCTTTCGACAGAGTTCCACTTTAGAGGTTGTTCTGGAAACTGGAACATATTGGAGGGGGTGACAGGTAAGCTTCTAACATGGATGAAAATTTTTCTGATAGAAAAATAAGGGCAGTAATCAGAGGCAATGTATCAGACTGGAGAAATGTCACAAGTGGAGTACCACAGGGTTCAGTTCTTGCACCGGTAATTTTCATTGTCTACATAAACGATCTACCAGATGGAATACAGAATTATATGAACATGTTTGGTGATGATGCTAAGATAAAAGGGAAGATAAGCAACTTAGATGATTATCATGCCCTTCAAGAAGACCTGGACAAAATAAGTATCGAGCACCACTTGGCAAATGGAATTTAATGTGAATAAATGCCATGTTATCGAATGTGGAATAGGAGAACATAGACCCCACACAACCTATAAATTATGTGAAAAATCTTAAAAGAATTCTGATAAAGAAAGAGATCTAGGAGTGGCTCTAGATAGAAAACTATCACCTGAGGACCACATTAAGAACATTGTGCAAGAAACCTATGCTACACTTTCTAACTTCAGAATTGCTTTTAAATACATGGATGGCGAAATGCTAAAGAAATTGTTCACGATCTTTGTTAGAACAAAGCTGGAATATGCAGCCGTTGTTTGGTACCCATATCTTAAGAAGCACATCAACAAACTGGAAAAGGTGCAAAGACATGCCACTAAGTGGCTCCCAGAACTGAAAGACAAGAGCTACGAGGAGAGGTTAGAGGCATTAATTATGCCAAAATTAGAAGATAGAAGAAAAAGAGGCGATATGACAACTACGTACAAAATAAGTAGTAACAGGAATCGATAAAATTGATAGGGAAGAATTCCTGAGACCTGGGACTTCAAGAACAAGAGGTCATAGATTTTAAACTAGCGAAACAGAGCTGCCCTAAAAAATAAGAAAATTCACTTTCACAAACAGAGTGGTAAACAGTTGGAACAAGTTAAGTGAGAAGGTGGTGGAGGCCAAAACCATCAATAATTTTAATTTCTAAGTGTTATATGACAGAGAGTGCTGGGAAGATGGGACACCACGAGCGTAGCTCTCATCCTGTAACTACACTTACTTAATTACACACAATTAATTAATTATCCTGTTTCTGATATACGTAAATGATCTCCCAGAGGGTATAGACTCATTCCTCTCAATGTTTACTGACGACGCCAAAATTATGAGAAGGATTAAGACAGAGGAGGACAACTTGAGGCTTCAAGAAGACCTGGACAAGCTGCAGGAATGGTCGAACAAATGGCTGTTAGAGTTTAATCCAAGCAAATGTAATGTAATGTAATGAAGATAGGGGTAGGAAGCAGGAGACCAGATACAAGGTATCACTTGGGAGATGAAATACTTCAAGAGTCCGAGAGAGAGAAAGACCTGGGGGTTGATATCACGCCAGACCTGTCCCCTGATGCTCATATCAAGAGGATAACAGCAGCAGCATATGCCAGGTTGGCTAACATAAGAACGGCCTTTAGAAACTTGTGTAAGGAATCTTTCAGAACATTATATACCACATATGTCAGACCAATCCTGGAGTATGCGGCACCAGCATGGAGTCCATATCTAGTCAAGCATAAGACTAAAATGGAAAAGGTTCAAAGGTTTGCCACCAGACTAGTACCCGAGCTGAGAGGTATGAGCTACGAGGAGAGACTACGGGAATTAAACCTCACTTCGTTGGAAAACAGAAGAGTTAGGGGGGACATGATCACCACATTCAAGATCATCAAGGGAATTGACAGGGTTGATAAAGACAGGGTGTTTAACACAAGGGGCACACGCACTAGGGGACACAGGTGGAAACTGAGTGCCCAAATGAGCCACAGAGATATTAGAAAGAACTTTTTAAGTGTCAGAGTGGTTGACAAATGGAATGCATTAGGAAGTGATGTGGTGGAGGCTGACTCCATACACAGTTTCAAGTGTAGATATGATAGAGCCCAATAGGCTCAGGAACCTGTACACCTGTTGATTGACAGTTGAGAGGCGGGACCAAAGAGCCAGAGCTCAACCCCTGCAAGCACAACTAGGTGAGTACACACAAGTTGTACCTAATAGCCAGAATGCACTACTTGGTCAACTATGCAAGGCCTGTTTTGCCTAATAAGCTGAGTTTCCTTAAATTATATATTGTATTTTTCAAATTTTGTTCTTATAAAATGATAAAGCTTTCCATTATATTATATATGTTTTAATTATTTTTAATTTGAGTTAAACTAACATAGAAATACGACCAAACCTAACAAACTTAACCTATCCTGAACTAAACTAACATATCTAAGTCAGTAATTCATGTTCTTTAATATAATATAATATAATATAATATAATATAATATAATATAATATAATATAATATTCAAATAAACCATTTGGAAGACATTAAAAAAAATGACGAAAATTACTTTGCCTATTAGGGAAATTTGGCCTTGCATATTAGGCCAAGTAGTGTGTTTTGGCTGTTAGGTATGACACACATATACTGTACATACATACTGTACATACATACTGTACATACATACTGTACATACATACTGTACATACATACTGTACATACATACTGTACATACATGCATACATAATGCAAAGACTAGTGAGAATGCTGTGAGTAATGTAACCTGCCGTAACAATTTATGAATTTGCTATATTAAATCCTTGTGTTTTATATACAGTATATATTTTATGAGTGTTCATCACAATTTCTCTTTATTTTATATAAAGTTGTTTTTAACAGATGATCTGTGGAGTGTGTGGAGTTACCAGGAGTGTGTACAAGTGCCAGACCTCGGAGACCGCACCATCATGCTTGACTGGCTACTGTCCAAGTGGGTCCCTGAAGTGCAGACGCAATCCTTAGCACAACGCACTGCTGGTTATGTGCTGGGAGACTTTCAGGCTCTCATTACTGCAGCTCGCAGGTCAGTTTTAATAAGTTTTGACAGAGTGAACAGAGTGCAGAAAATGTTATAAATACGTTACAGGGTAAATATAAGTTTTTCTTTCAGAGGTTATATTGAAGATATAAGTTTATTTAGCTTTGGAATGAATAATTTTGGTTGTATTCAACTACATGTAGAAGCAAAATAAAGAGCTTGCATTTTTATAAACAAAGAAAAATCATATAAAAATGATAGCAAAATGAAGTGAAAGTCAACCAAAATGCTCCATTTCAGTTTGCTTGTGTTTGTACTCAATAAGATCAAGCAGACTTCTTGCCCCTGACAATGGGAAACCATGCGAGCTTGAAACATATAATCGTGAATAAATAAGTTAGGGGAATCTTGGTTCTGCTCAGTGCTTGCCTATCAGTGACTATGGGTGTGAGATCTAACTCTTTATGCCTTGCCTTCTAGCTCTTTATACCCAGCATGCTAATGACCTCTCTCAACAATTAATGTTTTCTAATTAATGTTTTTCAATTAATCTGCCAGCTTCGGTTAGGGTACTGCATTGTGGTTCTGAGTCTTGAGTTTTGGTGTCTTCCTTACCTGTGCTTTGGGTAAATGGGTTTGGGACCTGTTCCCAGTTTTCCACTGGGTTTCCAGGTTACTCTGACACCTGTTCTTCTGGAGTGTTTAGTTTTGCATCTTGCCACAGGATTGAGTCTCTACTTCTTCCCATTTGCTGCCAGCACTGTGTGCGCTCACATTAGTGGTACAGTACTGTCCCTTCATCTTTTGCTCTGCTTTCTAGGTATGTTAACCTACCTGGTTTGCTGAAGAATTAATATTTTTACTTCTCAAGAGTCTCACTTGAATTAGTTCTTTAGTCTGATATTTTGATTAATTTCTCTCAGACACTGTCTTTGGCGCCTGTCTCTGAAGCATGATAGCAAGATGGAGGAACTTTCTAAAAGCAGCGTTTATATAGAGAATACAAGAGATCTACCATTGTTGTACACCGATCTTCTCAAAGCCCTTGGTATGTCATATACAACTTTCTTAAACAGCTTTTGTACTGGGGGATAATTTCATGGAGGACTGGTACCCTTATGCTATTATAGTATTAAAAGTAAAAAGGCTTTGGCGATATATCTGTTATATGTTGAGAGAGGTAGAAATAGACTAAAAAATCACTACTGCTATTAACTATCTGAGAAGATCTAAAGTGTGACTGTGTAAGATTATAGCAAGTGAGTGTAAGGTAGCAGCTAGAGGGAGTTAGTATCTATTGTTCTTGGTTGTATTGCAGATGAATTACAGTCAATTCGTAGTGAAGCTCTGGGAGCTCCGCGTATTCCACAGGTGCGATGGAATGAAGTTGGAGGCTTGGAAGATGCTAAGCGCCAGGTCATCAACACTATTCAGCTTCCTCTTCGCCATCCCTCTCTTGTCTCTAGCAGACTTCGTCGTTCAGGCAAGCTATCTTGATGGTTAATTTGTTATCTTCTACAGTGTATTCAAATTATATCCTCCTCCTTATCTTTTTCAATACCTTGATTGGAAATAATTTTTTGAAATTTTTGCGTTACACATGTCTTCAATGATAATGATATGATATTCAATGATATGTCTTCACAATAATCATTAGGATTATTCTAGGTGCCAGTTTTCATTGGAATACAATAATTTCATTAATATAATTCATTTTATAGTTGCATTGATGCGAATAGTTCTGATGCACAGTAATTTGATGATATTATTCTTGTTTACACAAGACATAAACTTTGCGTTTTGTTGCAGTATGTATACTGTATACAAAATATGGAGCAAAAGTACTGTAAACGAAGTCAGAAGTGTTGGAACTGTTTTAGAGCCTTCAGTCCCCACCCGTGTTTCATTGTGAGAGTTTTTTTCCGTCCTGGGATGAGTTGAGGGTGATGTTGGTGGGCACTGTGACTCTTACCTCAGCACATAGTTGGGAGGGTGGTCTGGATCTGTATTCTATGGCTGGCTCTTCTTCCTCTGTGGAGGCTTCTCAAAATTTTCCTCACATTTTTCCTGAAGATTTTTTCCAGATGGAATGATAATGATAAATGAATGAATGTAATAATAATAGATTTTATTTCCACAGGTGTGCTGTTGTACGGGCCGCCCGGAACAGGCAAAACTCTCTTGGCTAAAGCTGTGGCTACTGAATGTGGTCTGAACTTTATGTCGGTGAAAGGTCCTGAACTGCTTAATATGTATGTTGGCCAGAGTGAGGAGAATGTGCGTCAAGGTCAGTCACTGTACACTGTTGCAGAGCTCATGGGGCACTTGAACATCCTTAGAGGGGAATATTTTCTTATGAAAATCTGTTTAATTCTACTCGGTTACCTTTGGAGTTTTGCGTTTAATTTATGTGTACTGTATTTAATCATTTGGGCCTAATTTTGCTTTTTGCAGCATAAGGAAAATGTGTGTTGTTGTGTTGGCATTGTTATCCATGGATGGAAGTACTGTATTCATTGTCAGGTGGTGCAAAATTTGTTCTTATGGAAAGATTAAGCTTTTCTTTACATTATATAAGATTTGATTCTTTTTAATTTGAGTTAAAACTAACAGGGATGTTGCCACATCCCTCTTTCATTTAACACCCTATTTTATAAACCAGTATACTGTATTCGGTTAAGAAAATAAACAGTTCTATGTTGCATATATTTATAATGTTGTGGTGTGTTGTATATACTGTAGTATGGTTTCTTCATTGGCAGTATTCGCCCGAGCTCATGCTGCTGCTCCCTGTGTCATATTCTTTGATGAGCTGGATTCCCTAGCTCCGAACCGTGGACGCTCTGGTGACTCGGGTGGAGTAATGGATAGGTAACTCTTCGTGCTCTTTCTTCTGCTGTCTAGTTATGTGCTTTATTTAGAACTTTTTCTTTTGACAGCATAGTTTGCTTATACAGCATTGTCAAATACAGCAGGCATGAGAATTTACAGTACAGTACAGTGGAACCTTGAAAAACGAATTTAAAAGTTCCAGCACCGAGCTCGTTATGTGAAAGGCATGTCTTTCAAGACAAATTTCCCCATTTAAAATATTGGAAATCAAATTAATTCATTTTACCACCAAAAAAAAATCAATATGATATTCAATGTTTTAAATAATGGAGCAGCCTACCTTACACACACTGAACAAACCTTTATGACATTTTACTTTCTTCAAATTTGTTCCTTTTTTTCATATTTTTTATAGCAAAAGGTTCGCTCTGTGTTTGTCAGGTAGGCTGCTCCATGTTTCTTGGGAAAAAAAAAAAAATTGAAACACGGACAAATGCCATTAAGGTTCGTTCAGTGTTTGTCGGGTAGGATGCTCTATAATGTTTCAAATGTGTTTAATTTGTTTTGTATTTTTCATTTATTTATTAATAATGGAGCAGCCTACCCAGCAAACAATAAACGAACCTTTATGGCATTAGTCCGTGTTTCAAATTTTTTCAATTTTTTTTTATTTTTTATTAAGAAACATGGAGCAGTCTACCTGATGAACCTTTTCGACATTTGTTCTGTTTTTCAAAATTCATTTGTTTTTTATTCTACAAAAAAAAGTCAATGCTTGGCAACATTACAGCAGTCACCCCCTTTACATCCCAACATCATTATCATCTTTAAACAAAAAAATTATTTATTTGCATCATTGGAGGCATCAAAGAATGTGCAGGAACGCACCATGTGGTTTTCTCGTTAATCAAACAAACGTTCGCTAATCGAGACAAATTGTCGCCGATCGGCATGCTCGTTATTCAAAATGCTCGTAAATTGAGGCACTCGTTATATGAGGTTCCACTGTATATACTGTAGTAGCTGAATTAACATTTTTTTTTTTTTTTTTTTTTTACATAATACTAAGAGTTGCGCATCATAAAAGACAAATGTTAGAGGATGGAATGTGGAAAACCTGATGTGTATTCAGTTGTGTTCTCCCTAATGTGGCACATTATGCACTCACTATATCAGGGCTTAAATATACTGTAATATTGTAGTAAGATCAAATTAAGTTATATATTTGAGACAGAAATAGGAAGAGATACTGCAATATTTCTCAACCCTGGAGTACTCGTTGCTTATTGGCATTGCAGAATTTTGATGAATGCATTTCTCTCTAACTCCAGTTTTGACTTCTCAGGATTGTGTCAGCTCTGTTGGCAGAGTTAGATGGTGTATCAAGTGCAGCGGATGTGTTTGTGTTGGCCGCTACAAACCGACCTGATCTTATTGATCCCGGTCTCCTTCGTCCTGGAAGGTGAGCTGGTAGCAAGTGCTAATTTATCACAGAAAGATATTGGTAATTATTTAAATAAAAATACATTGTTATTGTATTATAGTAAAAAATTGCTCATAGTGTAGTCATATTTCATAATTTAACGTCAGAATTTATTAGTGTGCTCTTCTGCTACTGTACATCTGTAATGTGATCTTTTCCACTTGTTTAATTGTTGCAGATTTGAGAAACTAGTATTTTTGGGTGTCTGTGAAGACCGTGCAAACCAGATTAAAGTTTTGAAAGCTGTCACATCCAAGTAAGTATGTTGCTTATTGTGTATTACTAATATATCATTTGGATGGGTGCTTGGGAGTACCCAGAGCATAAGCTCAAATTCTCTTTACGGTTCCTATCGATTTTTTCAATACTGTATATTGATTATCATATGAAATCAATATATGGAATCAAGAGATAATGCTGTAGTGACTTTTAGTATTACAGTACTTTTATTGCTTAGTTTGATTTGACCTTTTACATGTAAGTCTGAATAAGTAATTAATAAAGAAGGCACCAAGCCAGCAAGATTGTGGCTTTTTTTTTTGTCTGTTTCATGCATTCACCATATCTAGACTACTCTGTTTTATCTTGGTTGTTGGTTTCAGGATACCTCTGGGGTCAAGTGTGAAAATGGAAAAAATTGCAGAGCTGTTGCCATTAACACTCACTGGTGCTGACCTCTATGCTTTATGCACGGATGCTCTTTATGCGGCTCTTCATCGTATTACCACCCAAATATTAGCAGGTAAAGTCTTCCCTGATGAATGATTTTTTTTATGTACATATGATTCAGCATTCATTAAGGTTAAAAATAAATGCACATTCTGTGCAATTGTGATCTGTCTTGCCTACACACAGTCACAAAGATAATCTTACATACTGTATTTGAATCGTAGCCAAATTCACAGACCCTACACAATTCACCGACTTCTTTACGACTCCTCTCGCCAATTGCCTCCGACCTTTCACTTTTCAAAAGTCCTGCAGTTTTGTATTTCGGATCTACCTGATTATTATCAGAATTGAAGAGGTTATACATTTAAAAAGTAATATAAATGCTCCCAGGTGTGGTACAGGAAGAGAATGCCGTTGTTGTGGTTGAGGAAGAGGACTTCAATGTTGCAGCAGAAAAGTTGGTGCCTTCAGTCACTCCCGGAGAGCTGGCTCACTATCGCACTCTCACCACCATCACTCGCACATAATAAGATAAGTATGTGAAATTTCAAGACAATGGCCTTATCACTTAAATGTACATTGCTAGCATCAAAATTTGCTTTACATTCAATGGTTAATTTTGTTGTTAACATATTTTTAATGAAAGGATATAGATATGTTTGTTGTTTGTCCTGTACACCGCCCCCATCCAGTGGGCAGTGGTGGATAGGTTACAATCACTCAGTTACTACCTACAGTTAGCAAGCTGGGGACATTTGGCTAAGATTTCTGGTAGCAGATCATTTTGAATTAAATAATTACACATATCTGGAACATTTGTTATATTATTCTCTCTTAATTCAAGTATCTTTTGCACTCACAAATTGGAATATAATAAAAATTAGCAGTCTTCACATAAAGAAAGTGTCAAAGCATTTGGGTAGAAATACAGAAGTGTGTGACTGATAAGAAGGAATTAGTTGAAGTGTTAGTGAGAACATAGTCGGTGAAGGAAAGTGACTGGTGCAGTAAATCCTGGTTAGAAAAAATACTAAGGTACAAAAACCAAAACAGAGTTGCAGAACTAGAAAATAGGATTGGCTTAACAGAAATTGTGAGAGGGCCAAAGAACAAAAGTCAAAATGGAGTCAATGTACAAAGTGGCCCAAAAGTCTAATATACCAGCAATACAAACAAGCAAGAAACAACTACATGACAGTAAAAAAAGAGGCAGAAAGAAACGTTGAGAACAAGACAGCAGAAAACTGTAAAACAGAACAAGGTCTTTTCTATAATTTATTACAGTAAAAGCAAATTACATGTAAAGGCTTCTGCTCAGAAGTTTTACATTTCATTCAAAGCTGTATTTTTGCTTTCTATATTGTTCAAAGATTTAATCTATTAGGATGTGAAAATTACATCCTACATATATTTTTATTCTTATTATATCATTATACAAATTTATAATATTTAACAGGCAAATGGATATGGCAATAAATAAGTAGGGCTCTTCAGAACAGAAACTGTACTGTTTCTAGCTGCCTTGTGATAGAAACAAGACAAGAGGCAGCACTTGGGTTGAATTTTGAATTAAATTAAATCTCTAACCAAATATATATCTTTTATATTAGAACTCAGAACTAAATGAAAGTTCTTGTTAATGATTAAAAAAGGTATAATGTAAGAATAAAATAAAAAAAACAGCTTAACTTGCTGTAAATGTAAGAAAATAATATTTGACTATATTTTTTAAATTTACTGTACATGATTAACATTCCACACAGATTAATCTTATTATCTTTGCTAACAGAGATTAATTATTAATCTGTTACATAAAGGGTTTTAATTCTTCACATCCTGTTCACACGCTCCATGAATATAGTACATTAGTGTCGCTGAGTTTGTGAAGTGTGCTTGTATACTGGTGTGATTATACAAATAAATTTTCCACATTTTATAAGCCACTACCTCCTCTTAGTGTGTGTTCCAACCATCTGTTTAAAGATACATTTTCATCTTTGCCATGCTATCTATTGTATACACTTATGACCATTAATACTTTTTTCTGGTTTCAAAACAGAAACAAGTATTTGTTTCTGTTTTGAAATTCAAATTGTTTCATACCATTTTGAAACAGTATGACAAATTTGTTCCCTCACTTTTTTTAGAACAGAGTACAAAGGATGTGTTGACCCAAGAAGACCAAAGTCAGGTCGAGAGAAGGGTCATGTCACATTTGAAAAATACATGAAATATTGCAGTGTGCTAAACATACAAGCTAACATAGATTGATGTTCCAAGCAATTAAACTAATAGAATTAATGCATATATGTTACTTTGAAGCAAATATACAAGCTAAGACATTACATAAATAGTAATTTACAAACGTGATGTGATCCTTCTGTTGACTTCACTTTGGCTTGCTTGAGTCAACACACATTTTGTAATACTGTATGTCCTGGACATACCTTAATGGCAAAAGTGCTTGACAAAGTTTTCATGGTTCTTCTGGTTTCAGCATTCCATGAGCTATGTTCATATATAAAATTCACCTACACTGTGGTCAAAATTGTATCGGGAGTTGTGTGTATCGAGGATTGTCATTTTACAACAATTATATGGCGACGTCCCAGTCTTGTTTAATAAGATCAGCGGCTCTTTCTCCAATCATAATAACTGGAGCATTCAGGTTGCCAGACACGATTACTGGCATGATTGAAGCATCCACTACACGTAGCCCTGAAATCCCTCGTAACCTGAAAAAAATTACGTGTTATTTATTTTCTAGTTAAAAATATCTTGGTTCTCCTTTGAAGAATGCAATTTAACTTGTGATGCAGAGATTTTTCCCTACAAAACAGGAAGATTGCATTCATGAAATGGTTGCCAGAAAATGTTAGCTTTACTCGGGCTTACTGTAATTGACTCGTTTTGTATTATCTAACAAGAATGTTTATACATGTCAGATGATATGATGGCTTCAGAACAAAAATGAGGGGTAGTCAAAGCACTCCAAGCATGAGAAAAAATACAGTAGGCAATTATCTTTTACCCAGTGAAGCACCCAGGTTGTTACTCTCAAGAGTTTTGTCTTAAAGTACTTAATTGTGGTTCCAACATCTAATATTTTGTTTCTTTTAATTCATTTCACCATGACCATAGAGATTTATATTATTTAGAACCTCCAATCACATACACATATACAATTTTACTATGGAGAGACCTGCCTTAAGGATATCAGTGAGTTCATGTTCAAAGTGTATGGGGAACACAGTTCCAAACTATGCCACTGCTATAAGCTCGGCTGCACAGGTGAATATATAAAATTCACCCACCCACCCACCTACCACGCCCCCCCTTCCTCTCTCTCTCTCTCTTTTCTCTCTCCATTTAGTTCTAGATTACATTAGGCTTAAAATGTTTTGGTCCAGTCTTATATAGTGTAGAAATTTTTCTAAATGCAATAGTTACATAGCATGCATGTATACCATTAGATCTAGAATACTTACTTGAGTGTGTGATCAACAACACCATAAGGGTCAGAAGGTGGGGCCATCTTGCATGTACCTACTGGATGGAATGTTGTCTGGGCCATGTGACGGGTAAAGCATGCCCAATAGCTGTCAGAACCGTACACCTCTTTTTCACATCCAGGCAACACCTGTAAAAGTAACTGGTTGTAATATGGGTGTCAAATACAAAGGTATTTTATGTGCAACTACAACTTGGCATCATTCATCAGTTACTACTAATGGTAGGTGCAGGCAATGAGTCACAATAACGTGGCTGAAGAATTTTGACCAGACCACACACTAGAAGGTGAAGGGACGACGACGTTTCGGTCCGTCCTGGACCATTCTCAAGTCGATTGATCGACAGATCGACTTGAGAATGGTCCAGGACGGACCGAAACGTCGTCCCTTCACCTTCTAGTGTGTGGTCTGGACAACACTAATGGTAGGTAATGCTAACTTGTTCAAACAAATTACCACCACCTCTACTGTACTTGATAAAGCACTTCCACAAGGCAAGGCTAATAACAAAACATAAAAATACAGGAAACTTCAGAAGACCTATACTGTATGCCCATGCAAGGCAGTTCCTGTTTATATCCAATCATATCTACTAGTAGATAGTTCTAACCTACACTTTAAAACATTCAATGACCCCACATCTATTAGGTTACCTGGCAACATATTCCAAAAGTCTACCAATCTATTTCCAAATGTATCGGAGTTCCCACCAAGCAACTGATCAACTTGGCTCACTGGATTTCCTCTCCAAAATTCATATTTATTGGAACAAATCTAGTAGTTTGTTCATTGTATTTTTCCATCAAATCATTTAAATTTGGATGGTCCTATAAATCCTAATTTTCCTTTTTTATTTGTAAATATTTGAAATAAAACATTTATACTGTATGTATTTTAGAAATATTTAAATAAGCTTATTCTATACTATAATTTGTTAAGTTGACATTTTATGTTGTGTTTGCGGGGGTTGAGCTTATGCTCTTTCGGCCCGCCTCTTACCTGTTTACTAAATACTATTTTTTTTTCCACACCACACACACACACACTCACACACATCCCAGGAAGCAGCCTGTGACAGCTGACTAACTCCCAGGTACCTATTTACTGCTAGGTAACAGGGGCATTCAGGGGTGAAAGAAACTTAAAAGAAAAATAACTCCATAAAATTTAGTGATAAGTCAAAGAAAGAGCAATTTTTGGAAACCCAGATTAAGTCTAGGATGACTATGACCCACATTGTGTAGGTGTTGCTCTACAGTACATGTCCATGGATCCGCAATAAATATTTTATTATGTTATTATTTAATAAGCTTAATTTTTCCAAGTCTGAAGATACGCTTTGCTCCAAGAATACAAGTGTTACCAAGTGAGGACTCATGTTTTGACCCAAGTACATTATGATAGGGTTTGGTGAAGTTTTGACTTATGGAAGTGTAAAATAAATTTTTTTACCGTATTGTAGAATTTTGCTCCATGGTCATCCTTCAGAGCTTGGGTGTTGCCTATCGCAAGAGCAAACTTTATACCTGAAAAAATTACAACTTATTAACGTTACATTGCGGGATAAGCACACAAAGTATGCTTCCAAGACATGCATAATGCCTGCTGAAGATGGAAATTGCAGTAATAAACACTTAAAAAGAATTAATGATGTATTTGTACCAGCTTTACCCGAGGGCCACTAACCCTAGCGGCCTCAATGAGGACAGAAAGCCAGCGGCTTATCGAGGGAAGATAGTAGGAAAGCAGAATCTAAAGGATCTGGGAATAATGATGTTTGCTCCTTCAGAGCGTGAGAGATCGCTGAAATAGAGAAAATGCAGAAAACATATACGGCATAAAGAGACACGATAAAATACCTAAATTATTGGGATCCTCTCGAAGCTCTCCAAATGTACTCACTACAAAGGAGACGAGAGAGATAATATCCCTGTGTCCAGGTAATAGCCCTGTGTGCTGCTTGTTGAATATGCTCTAGAGCATCTTTTGTGGCTGCCAAATTACCAGTGGGAAAATTTCTTGGACAAAATCCATTCTTTATGGATTTGCTCTATCATACAAGGTGACCAGTTTGTCAACCTTGTAAAAATAATCAGGGTCATTGAAATTCTTCATGGCATGGATTAGCAGATAGTGTGTGTGTGTAGTTGTATGAGTGGTCAAGCAGGTACATCAATGCCTCTGGGTTTCTGTACGTCAGTGAAGTTGAAAAGTAAGGATATTAGCTCCCCAAAGCAGGAAATTTTTTATTAATTCTGTATAATCTGTAAAAAAAGAAATTTATCCTCATACTGGAAGCCACCAAGGCATTTACCAGAGGTTGTGACATGTGAAACTTGCCACTTATGTATCCTAAATAGCAATACAGTACTTCTCTTCCATGCTAAAATCATACTGTACAGGTGATACTGTCCGGGTATCCAATTCCTGCCTGTAATTTACCATAGAGCTGCCTTTCCCCAAACATCTTTATATGCTGCTTGGCCATACTGTTATTGTCATGATGGTGGCAATACTGAGGCTACACAAGTGCAGGTTTGCATGCCTTGCAGGTGTGATAAGTGGTCAAGGCCAAACACTGGAACTAGTTACATTATCCAGTGCCTACTAATTGGTTATAAAGACCCAGGGAACTCCACTGCAAGTACTTTGAACAAGTATATGCTAGCAAGGATAAATATTGTATGCTAAGCCCATCTTACTTATGACACTGAACACAGTGTTAAAACTATCCATAGTAAGGAAGTGTATGGTGAACTGCCCATGATGGTAATGTTAATGGTGAAACTATCATGATTACAGAAAATAATTATGCACTCCCAAGATTTCTGGAACATTAAATAATTATTATAAACGATTATCCGAAACACTGACCTCGTATAAAGGTGGTGATATCGTCTGGATGGCTGAGGAAATTAGGGTCAATGAGTGGAGGGTCGTGGGGGTTTCGAGACCTCAACTTTACAGTCCCACGACTCTTTGGTCGAGTTAACATGGGTCCTATGTTGAATCCATCATGGCCCTTAATAGGGCCAAAGTACTTCTGGAAGAACTGGAAAACAATATCAGGGTTCTCTATTGGCTGAGTGTGAAGATGATGTGGCTGGTTTTTGTGGAATGGGTTGGTGGAGTACAGTTTTGTAGATATTTAATGTGGATAGTTAGTATAGTCATAGAATATGGGGTGGTGGTGGGACTGTTTGGGTGCATGAAAGTAGGATGTGTGAGGTGATGGTAATATGGAAAATGTGGTTGTAGAATGTGGATTGTGGTGGTGTAATGTTATGCTTATGTATCAGCAATTATTAGGAAATTAAATCTAGATCCTTATGTTCCATTTCCTAGCTTTTAATGCCTGGCACAATTATTACTTCAGTTTATGTTCAAGTTCTGTGTATTTTTCCCTAAGTTGTGGATGGAAGTGGCTTCAGCAATGTCTACTTTCAATAAATTCCACTTGCTAACCACATATAGGATATGAGAATTTCATTACATCTCTAGAATTGTGTTGTATATCAATCCTCCAGTGATGTGGGGGTGGTAGATATGAGTGATGGTGGTGTAGGGTGTATCAATGGTTATAGTAGTATAGGTGTAGTGGTGGTGGTAGTATGTGTTTAGGTGTTTGTTTAGGTAGTATGTGTTTAGATGGTGTTTAGGGGAGAGGGAAATCACGGGTGGAAGGAGCAAGAGGGAAGTCACAGGTGGAAGGAGCAAGAGGGAAGTCACAGGTGGAAGGAGCGAGAGGGAAGTCACAGGTGGAAGGAGCGAGAGGGAAGTCACAGGTGGAAGGAGCGAGAGGGAAGTCACAGGTGGAAGGAGCGAGAGGGAAGTCACAGGTGGAAGGAGCGAGAGGGAAGTCACAGCTGGAAGGAGCAAGAGGGAGAAATGGATTACCGCATGCTGAACCCTGTAGGTACATCTAGGTGCAAACATACACTTGTCAGGCTGGCTTATTTCCTCACAAAACAGAAATGGCATTAAGCTTACATCTCTCTTAAAACCAATCACATCAGCTAAGAGGAGTCCTGCATCAGCAGCTGGAGTAGCAGAGATGAAGAGGTACTGAAGATCAGGCCAGTACGGGTCACCCTCCTCTGCCAGGCTCCAGGCGTTCCCCTCCACACCCATCGGACTTGTTAGAGGACCTGGTGATTTCGGCACTGGTTAAATACAAGCTGTTGCATGCATATAAAATGTAAATGATTAATTGTACCTTAACTGTGTTCAACTATACCCACAGATACTGCAGAAGAGTATTACTGTAAAGACCACAGGTCTGATCATCAGAGATACTCTCTACATCAAATGTTCAGTCTGTAAGATGTCAAGTTTTTTATTAAATGTAACACAGATAAATATTGTACCTGTATAATGCTGAGTGACAGTAATAACTTGGGGTTGTGGCTTTTATCTGTTCATGGAACTACTGAAATCACTGATGCACTTGGCAATATAAAACTTGACTTTATGATTAATATATATGCAACTGGTACACAAATTTAAAACTAATATTTTTCTGCTGCAAATGTAATACTGTACTTGAAGTGTTTGGGATTAGTCAGACTATACAACTTGAACTACATACTGTATTCCTAATTTGTTATTGTAATAAGTTAAATTTAAGATAGTACTTTGTATGATAAAATCTTTAATATACTGTACTGAAATATAGTACAGCTATAAATCTTTATTAACCTTGCCTGTTGTTGAGATAGTTCTTGATGTGAGCAGGATTTGCTATATTGAGGATACTGGAGGCAGAACCTGGGTTGACAGTCCATGTGAGACCAAAGATGGATGGATGGTCCTGGAGATTGTGGCCAACTCCAGGCAAGTCCACTATTACCGGGATCTATAATGAAAACATGGTGACAGATGCAGAAAGGCAGAGGAGTGAGGATGGGGGCACCTGTGTTGGGTAGTCTACTGCTGGCTAAAAATGGAGGTCATTACTGGAACAGAATACAGTACACTATTTTGAACATTATATCAATGTCATTTCCCCACAGCACACAATTTATAATAAATACCTATAACACCAGCAGCATTGCCCTCACCATCTCCATAACATCACTATTACCAAATCATTACCACCATTACCTAAGGTGGTCAACCACATTGACCAGTACTCACATTATGTTGACGGAGGTGTTGAGCCGGGCCAACACCAGACACCAAGAGCAGGTGTGGAGAGCCAACAGCACCGGCTGACACCACCACCTCCCGCTTGGCCAACACTGTACGAACCTGTGAGGGAAGTCATCTTAAATAGTGACCTGTACTATTACTAATTAGGGGAGGAGATGCTTGAAGCACACCTCTACTAGATACCTATCAACACCCCCCCCCCCCCACCAACACATTACCTGTCAACCCCCAATACATACAGTAGATAGTTACCTGTCAACTCCTCCCCCCCTCCACACACACATTACCTGTCAACCCCCAATACATACAGTAGATAGTTACCTGTCAACTCCTCCCCCCCTCCACACACATTACCTGTCAACCCCCAATACATACAGTAGATAGTTACCTGTCAACTCCTCCCTCCCCTCCCCCCCACATAAGCTAGCTCGATTCTGCAGGCACAAATAGTAAATAAACATTACCCATAACCCCCCATATACACATTATCCATCAAACCACACCTCTACCCACCCCCACACATGTCCAAAAACGTTCAGGGCCACTTGTATAAGGTTAGTTGGGTTTGAGCATGTTGATTTAGAATAAATTTGGTTAGGAATAACTAGGAAAGAATTACGGTTGTGACTGGTGCATGACTTAATGTATATATGTTTCACAATACTGTACAGCAGCATGCAGGTGAGAGTACGGCAACACCCACCTTTCCTTGGTGCTCAAACCGAACTCCAATTGCACGTTTCTTCTCATCAAAAAGAATCTGAAATAATACAATATTATTAAAACATTTTCGAAACTGAAACGGTATCTGGCCGTGATGGGGCCCGCGAGACTGGCGCTGGCCACCATTACACAAACACATAGTATGTTTACACAGTATGCTCCCGGACGCAGGTTCGAATCCTCGTCACGGCCCTTGTGGATTTGTTCACACAGTATAACACGAGTGAAAGGTAAGGGGCGGGAAGATCTGTTGACTCAGCGAGTGTGAGCGGGTGAGTAACGGCGAGTAATAGAGAGCGCTCACCTGGGTAACAAGTGCACGTGGAACAATGTGCAGGTTGCCACCTTCCAGGGCGGGTCTGAGGTACCCCTCTACCACTGATGACCTCCGTCCCTTCTCTTGTGTCATGTCTGCCACCGAGAATCCTTAAATCCAGAGAGAGGATATCTTTATCATTTGTTATATCTACATAAATATTTGTATATCATCCATGTCATTGAAGTATATAATTATTGTAGTCGGTTGCCTATGCATGTCTTCATTTGTAGTCAGCGGCCTGTCTAACACTGACCCCAGGCACGTGGGCATGTCCCCCATACAAACTAAAGGCATTTCTAATTAACATCCGCAACAGATCACAACCATATATATAATTAAGCCAGATACAGAAGTATGGTCAGACACAATAAAAAATACATAACGTACATTTAAAATAATCTTTAGTGTCAGAGTGGTTGACAAATGGAATGCATTTGGCAGTGATGTGGTGGAGGCTGACTCCATATACAGTTTCACATGTAGATATGATAGAGCCCAATAGGCTCAGGAACCTGTACACCAGTTGATTGACAGTTGAGAGGCGAGACCGAAGAGCCAGAGCTCAACCCTCGCAAGCACAAATAAGTGAGTACACAATAGTCAAAGCCAGACAAAATACAGCCAGAAGCCTATCACAAAAGCTAAGCCTCACAACATGACATTCCTTGATCATTACCCTATATATCATTATAAAAGTTACAGAGACCCAATATATGCGTGTCTTAAAAACCAAAAATGTTCTGCAGAACAATGTTTACAGCACCTTGAGAAAGGATGTAGGTTACATACGAAGATTTTGGTTGTTAATACACTTGGACAAACTGTGTATTGGGTCTTTCCTTCACCTTCATTCAAGCACTCCGGCATTGTAGTAAGTTTTGTCTATACCATTAGTATTACAGTACAGTATATATTAAAATAACAATGTATTTTACGATTAAGAATATAATAATTTACTTAAAAAAGCCTGTGAAAAAATTTACTTAAAAAGCCTGTGAAAATAATTTACTTAATTTTTGTTTGAATATTAAGTCTATTTATATGTATAGTCATATATAAATAGGTTTTTAGTGAGTCTTACCGATCTGGTCGGGTCCGTTGGGGTCGACTATAGGGTAGCCGAGCTGCTGGCCGGCTTTGAGGTATCCGGCCAGGAGGGGTGACCCCCACCTCTTGTCCTCCACAGAGATGGGACCATTGTGACCGTGGTACTCGTCCGCTGAGGGAAGCAGATGGGACAGTACGTGACGGAACAGTGTGGAAGGGATGAGGAGACATGCCGGGGTGTGGCACTCTTGGGCTAGAGGGAAGGCTTACGTGACCAGGGGAGTGAGGGAGAGTATTATGAGGCACCATCCCCGGCTCTCATAATGTTGTTCTTGATTTTCAAGGATGAGCGTGAAAGACAAGTGAAGTTCGCTCACTGAACTTGTGTTACGTAATGCATGTGGACCTATACCCGAGGCTGGCATGCATTAATGATAATGGAAATGTTCTAACAAACACGTCTCCACACCTACACCACAAGACCCCCCACACCTACACCCCACACGCCCCCACACCTACACCACACGCCCCCCACACGCCCCGCACACCTACACACGCCCCCACACCTACACCACACACGACCCCCACACCTACACACACACACCCACATACACCACACACCCCCACCACACACTATTCTACAGCAACACGCCAACCTTGGACTACAGTCTTGGCTGACCTTAAACATACTTCACAATAGGCAACTGTGTACAAGGTGACCCCTCACATGACGTACACGCACTGGACAAACGGGTTCTAAAATTATTTATGTATACAACCCGTCCTCGACTCAAGTCCATTACATCCAGCGGTCGACTCCAAAGACGCATTCATAAATTTGTACATGCTGTTCATTCAAAACGGGAATTTTCTCATATATATATTAATATAATAATATATTAGCGTATTGCGCATATATAGGCATAGGTTAGGTGTTTGGAGGACGGGCTGCTTTAATCAGCCCGTCCTCCAAACAAAGTCTCCAAAAGTGATTCCATGCACCCGCCAAACCCGCTGTTTATGAATGAAAAACGGTTTACACACGATTCACACAACCCGTCCTCGACTCAAGTCCATTACATCCAGCGGTCGACCCCACAGACGCATTCATAAATTTTAATATGCTGTTCATTCAAAACGGGAATTTTCTCAAGTATAAATTAATATTATAATATATTAGCATATTGTGCATATATAGACAGGTTAGGTGTTTAGGTTCTGTTGGCGATTATTTGTATTTGTAGTACGTGGGTGAAGCATTTATAGCGTTGTGATTCGAACAAAATTCGTCAGTGAAACACTTGTTCCGGATATGTTCGAACGTCAGCAGTTGTGAGTCGTGTGTAAACCACTTTTCATTCATAAACAGGGAGTTTGGCATGTGCATGGAATCACTTTTGGATCTTTGTTTGGAGGACGGGCTGACTTACAACTGCTGACGTTCGAACACTTCCGGAACAAGTGCTTCACTGACGACTTTTGTTCAAACCACAACGCTGTAAATGCTTCACCCACGTACTACAAATACAAATAATCGTCAACAGATCTTAAACACCTAACCAGTGCCTAAATATGTACAATATAGTAATATAAAATAATATTAATTCATATTTGAGAAAATTCCTATTTTGAATAAACAGCATGTTAAAATTTACGATTGCGGCTTTGGGGTCGACCGCTGGATAGACTGGACTGGGTGTGAAGACGGGTTGCATTAAGTGGACAAGGGCGGAACGAGGCTGCCCAGTCGGCAACCCTCAAGTATTCCTTCCCACCAGCACAGTTCCTACACACATCCCAACACATACACCAGCACACATCCCCTACACATACACCAGCACACATCCCAACACATACACCAGCACAAATCCCCTACACATACACCAGCACACATCCCCTACACATACACCAGCACACATCCCCTACACATACACCAGCACACATCCCCCACACATACACCAGCACAAATCCCCTACACATACACCAGCACAAATCCCCTACACATACACCAGCACACATCCCCCACACATACACCAGCACACATCCCCCACACATACACCAGCACACATCCCAACACATACACCAGCACACATCCCCTACACATACACCAGCACACATCCCCTACACATACACCAGCACACATCCCCCACACATACACCAGCACAAATCCCCTACACATACACCAGCACACATCCCAACACATACACCAGCACACATCCCAACACATACACCAGCACACATCCCCCACACATACACCAGCACACATCCCCTACACATACACCAGCACACATCCCCCACACATACACCAGCGCAAATCCCCTACACATACACCAGCACACATCCCCCACACATACACCAGCACACATCCCCCACACATACGCCAGCACACATCCCCCACACATACACCAGCACAAATCCCCTACACATACACCAGCACACATCCCCCACACATACACCAGCACACATCCCCCACACATACACCAGCACACATCCCCTACACATACACCAGCACACATCCCCCACACATACACCAGCACACATCCCAACACATACACCAGCACACATCCCCTACACATACACCAGCACAAATCCCCTACACATACACCAGCACACATCCCCCACACATACACCAGCACACATCCCCCACACATACACCAGCACACATCCCAACACATACACCAGCACACATCCCCCACACATACACCAGCACAAATCCCCTACACATACACCAGCACACATCCCCCACACATACACCAGCACACATCCCAACACATACACCAGCACACATCCCCCACACATACACCAGCACAAATCCCCCACACATACACCAGCACACATCCCCCACACATACACCAGCACAAATCCCCTACACATACACCAGCACAAATCCCCTACACATACACCAGCACAAATCCCCTACACATACACCAGCACACATCCCCCACACATACACCAGCACACATCCCAACACATACACCAGCACACATCCCAACACATACACCAGCACAAATCCCCTACACATACACCAGCACAAATCCCCTACACATACACCAGCACACATCCCCCACACATACACCAGCACACATCCCCCACACATACACCAGCACACATCCCCCACACATACACCAGCACACATCCCAACACATACACCAGCACACATCCCCCACACATACACCAGCACAAATCCCCTACACATACACCAGCACACATCCCCCACACATACACTAGCACACATCCCCTACACATACACCAGCACACATCCCCTACACATACACTAGCACAAATCCCCTACACATACACCAGCACACATCCCCCACACATACACCAGCACACATCCCCCACACATACACCAGCACACATCCCCCACACATACACCAGCACACATCCCCCACACATACACCAGCACAAATCCCCTACACATACACCAGCACACATCCCCTACACATACACTAGCACAAATCCCCTACACATACACCAGCACACATCCCCTACACATACACCAGCACACATCCCCCACACATACACCAGCACAAATCCCCTACACATACACCAGCACACATCCCCTACACATACACTAGCACAAATCCCCTACACATACACCAGCACACATCCCCTACACATACACCAGCTCGCATCCCCTACACATACACCAGCACACATCCCCTACACATACACCAGCACACATCCCCCACACATACACCAGCACACATCTCCTACACATACACTAGCACAAATCCCCTACACATACACCAGCACACATCCCCCACACATACACCAGCACACATCCCCTACACATACACCAGCACACATCCCCTACACATACACCAGCACACATCCCCTACACATACACCAGCACACATCCCCTACACATACACTAGCACAAATCCCCTACACATACACCAGCACACATCCCCCACACATACACCAGCACGCATCCCCTACACATACACCAGCACACATCTCCTACACATACACCAGCACACATCCCCTACACACACACCAGCACAAATCCCCTACACATACACCAGCACACATCCCCTACACATACACCAGCACAAATCCCCTACACATACACCCGCACCCCCCCCCCCACATACACCCGCACAACTCCTGCACGCAACATTAAAAAGCAACATTAATTAGATATACAATACTTTATAAACTTATCAAACCCAACCAAAAATTATTGTAAGCTCTACACTAGGAAGAATTTCCCATAAAAAATCTAAATAAAAACAGACTGCCAAAGATCGGTTATTACTCTGTCAGTTAAGCGTCGGGTAGTGGGCTTGGGGGGGGGGGAGTCTGGTCATGGGAGGGGGTAAGGAGTGGGCGTGGGAGGAGGGTGTGGGCGTGGGAGGAGTTGGGTGGGCGTGGCAGGGGATAGGGAGTGTGGGAGTTACCTGTGTGGGAGTTACGGGAGCCTCTGTAGTGTTCCGACTTCTTGAAATACTTGAGTACGGTGCGGTAGTCCCAGCCAGGGTTGCCGAGGGCGACCCAGTTGTCGTAGTCCCGCTTGTTGCCTCTCACGTACATCATCCAGTTGATGGAGGCCGACCCGCCCACCACTCTGCCTAGGGGGAAGGGACACGCCTGCCTCCCCCAGGGGACCACAGTACACACAAGGCCAAGTTACTCACACGAAACTACTGACTAGTCAGCTGCTAATGTTTTTAGAATCATAAGAGCAGGTCCAACCAATGTTTCATACTTAGGTCAACGAGAGAGACAAAAAAGATGGAGGTAAATGAGAGGATAGGTAAGTATCGTGCACCAGCCCGGGTGAGACACGCGAGGTCCGGAGGACCTGTGCCAGATGGTGTTGCTAGGCCCACACACCAACCCGTCCTCTTAAAAATAACGTCACTTTTCGCTGGTATGCGCACTATGGCCAGATTTGGACATAATTTGAAATGAAATCGACTCACAAAAGTGACGTACTGTTCCGTTTTCTGTTTGAGTCGTCCGGCTTACTCGGCAAGCTTAGAAAAGGATTCTTTCCATTAACATTTTTCATAACGTTTTGAAACTTTATGATAATTTCCTGCCCACCTAACCTATCAGAGGACCCTTAACTTACTGTTGTTGAAAAAAAAATCTCAAATTTATTTTAATTTTTTTTTCATTTTCAAATTACGTCCATATTCGGCCATACGGGCAAACGGCCAAAAGCGACGTTCTTTTTAAGACCCGCCTGGTAAACCTGCTGATGGGTAATGATAATCATTCCCATTGTCGGGGACAGGAAGTCTGTATATATATAATTTAGGCATGTATCAGGGTCCTCCAAGGTGGAACTACTCACCTTCCGCAGGGTGCAACCCTTAAGTTACCAAACTCCCGGGTACCTTTTTTACTCCTAGGTGAATAGAGGCATCAGGTGAAATGAAACGCACCCAACTACTGTCCTGCTAGGAGATCGATCCCAGGATCCTGTGGAGGTCAAATACCACCGTTCGGGTTATATCTAGTGTTATGTAAAATGATGGTGTGTCGGGTTCTGGCAATGATAAATACATTTCTCCCTTCACGACGATGATACAATTGTTAATATCATCTTGTTTTATTTATATATACAAAAGTTCTTGCATTCTTGTACAGCCACTAGCGCGCATAGCCTTTCGGGCAAGTCCTTAATCCTATGTTTCCCGAAATACGACCCGCCAAATCGTTTAACAGAGGCACAGTTAAGGATCTGCGCCCAGAAACTCCTCCCCCCCCCCGGCCAGGATATGAACCCAGGACAAGAGGCTCGTCAAATGCCAGACGAGTGCCTTACCACTACGCCACGGGGCCAGAGAAACACGTATGCCGCCTGTGAGAATCTAACTTCTCATTTACAGTATTAAGTGTTTACTTCCCATTATACCGATAACATTTTTTAACAGAATTATTCAAATTTTTGCTGGAAACGCTCTCTGTATTAATTGTTTTAATTAATATGCAGCCCCTGTACCTTCCAACCTGTCCTCAGGGAGGAAATTTGCTTATGTGAATGGATTAAGAAAGACTACATAATTAGTGATATTATTGTCTCTAACCATGGTTTGTTATGGTATGGTTAGGTTAGGTTTCATTATGCTTGGTTACGTTACTACAGTATTATTGACGATAATGTGAAATATGGCATTCGAAAACTATTTCAGTGTACCCGATAATTCTGTTTGTAGAAAATCACATTCTTAAATTAAAATGTTTCCAACATATACTTTTTATATTTAAAACCAACGGTTTATAATACAATAAAATTATAACTTGAGAATAATCTCTGTTTAGGAAAAAGGTACACTTGCCAGTTTATATGAAGCCTATTACAGGAATCCTAATATGCTTTCAGAGCATCACAAATATCTTGATAACTATCCAGGTGGTTTGAGGGGAGGAGTGTGGTATCTTATGGTAATGGATGTTCTCATACCTTCACATATATGTCTGTATTATGTTCTTATGTATGAATATACATTATTAATATAACACTGGGAAAAGCCTGCCATTACGCACTCACATTATTCTTATAGTTGAGAAGTCCGTGTTTCTGGGGCACTGTGCGGTAGTTCCAGTCTGCGTCACTCTGCATGAGGAAGACATTAAACCCGGGCACCTGAGACTCCGGGGGCGGCGGCCCCCCCGCCTCCAGCACCAAAACCTTCCATCCTTGTACCTCCGCCAACCGTGACGCTACCACGCTGCCAGCCGACCCGGACCCCACTGCCAGACACACGATACATTATATTTTATCTCATTTAAAAAGTTCATAGATTTAAATATTTAACTAATATTATGATTCTGATTTGTAACAACAGAGTGCTGGGTGAGGCTAAGGCTAACATAAGATATTTGTCTGCTTATTGTAAACAAATATTAGTATGCAATTACAACTAAAGAATTCATGACATTTATATGTAATGGAAGAAATTAGTTTCAGGCATAAATAATTTAATAAATGCTAAAATCAATGAAACAACATACGTAGCACATAATATGTTGGCGAACATCAGTACAGACTTCAGGAGGCTAGACAAGAACACGTTCAAAACGCTACATACAGAATACGAAGCAATAAGATGCTTATCTTAACATACTAAGGTGGTTAGGTAAGGTCGGTGTTTTCTATGAAGCTTTTCAAGGTAAACTAAAATATTCACAATAAATTAGTATGTCACATATGCGCGTATTTAATAAGTCAATATTGACTATAAGAAAGTGCGAGAACGGGTTGTAGACCAATGCTAGAGTGAGCTCGTCCTCAGAGCAAATCCATTACAACGACAAACCCAACCCCCCCCCCTCCCCCCTCCTCACCACCTGGATAGTTATCTACATATTTGTGATGGTCTGAAAGCATATTACGGTTCCACAAATAGTCTACATGTAAACTGAAACGGGAACCTTTGTCCTAAACAGGTTTTTCTAAAGTTATTTTTTTTTTTTTTTTTTTTTTTTTTTTTTTTGAGATATATACAAGAGTTGTTGCATTCTTGTACAGCCACTAGTACGCGTAGCGTTTCGGGCAAGTCCTTAATCCTATGGTCCCTGGAATACGATCCCCTGCCGCGAAGAATCGTTTTTTCATCCAAGTACACATTTTACTGTTGCGTTAAACAGAGGCTACAGTTAAGGAATTGCGCCCAGTAAATCCTCCCCGGCCAGGATACGAACCCATGACATAGCGCTCGCGGAACGCCAGGCGAGTGTCTTACCACTACACCACGGAGACTGTATGTATATTATAACTTTGCGTTATGAATCGTTGGTTTAAAAATATAAAAACTATATGCTAAACATGTTTTCTTTGAAGAATTTAATTTTCTGTAAACGGAAATCTCTGGTACACTGAAATAGTTTCCGAATTCCATATTTTACATTATCGTCAATAATGCACCCTATTAACATGGTGAAATCTAACCTAAGATAACCAAGGATAGAGAGTAGATAGAGGCAAGAACCAGTCATACAGGAGCCGGATGAGGCAAGAACCAATCATACAGGAGTCGGATGAGGCAATAACCAATCATACAGGAGTCGGATGAGGCAATAACCAATCATACAGGAGTCGGATGAGGCAATAACCAATCATACAGGAGTCGGATGAGGCAATAACCAATCATACAGGAGTCGGATGAGGCAATAACCAATCATACAGGAGTCGGATGAGGCAATAACCAATCATACAGGAGTCGGATGAGGCAATAACCAATCATACAGGAGTCGGATGAGGCAAGAACCAGTCCTACAGGAGCCGGATGAGACAAGAACCAGTCCTACAGGAGCCGGATGTAGCTGTAACTTACCGACGATAAAGTCATACTGAGGAAGCAGGTTGGTGGAGTGGTCATAGTTGAACTGTCCGCCGCCCTTGAGCATGGCCAGCACCAGCAGCCTGACCAGCGCTTGTGGGATCACCAGGTTCAGTCTGGCCAACATGATCACACTTTCTTCCTAAGCTCTCTTCTCCAACACTTTCTTCCTCAGCTCTCTTCTCCAACACTTTCTTCAACACTTCTCCAACGCTGCCACGATAACTTCTCTCTCACCTTGTCCATAAGGCTGCGACGGGCCTCAATATTCTGTGATGAAAATGACTAAGAATTAGTTCATGTCCAACGACTGAGAGGTTGTTAGTACCGAGGTCCTGAGTGTAGTCTGTGCCCCGTGTGTCCTGTGTTCAAGTGGATCTCAATCTTTTGTTACTGGCGTTCTGTACCTCACTATCCTCTGTGACCCGCGTCAGTCCTAAACCCTTTGTAGTACCATGGTAGAGTACGGTACACTACCATCACATGAACAGTTCTCTAGTACCATGGTAGAGTACGGGACACTATCATCACATGAACAGTTCTCTAGTACCATGGTAGAGTACGGGACACTATCATCACATGAACAGTTCTCTAGTACCATGGTAGAGTACGGGACACTACCATCACATGAACAGTTCTCTAGTACCATGGTAGAGTACGGGACACTACCATCACATGAACAGTTCTGTAGTACCATGGTAGAGTACGGTACACTACCATCACATGAACAGTACTGTAATACCATAATAGAATACTATAATGAGTTACCAGGAAGATGATCGAGTTGGTGAGTTTTTACACTATCGCCTCAGCCTTTAAACAACATAAAAAATTTAAAACCTGATTTTTAATTTGCGGACCAAAAAAAGGTGGCAAAACCCGTCGTGGTGACTGGGTGTAACCTGACTCAGGTGATAACGACGACTGATGACTGGAACCCGCGTGAAGGTGGCGACAGGTGGCTCACCTGGCAGCACCTGGCTCACCTTGAGAGAGGAAATGTCCCGACACAGTAGAACCTCCGTGGTCATCCAGACCCGTTATCCTCCTACTCCACAACCCCAAGTGGACATCAAGATGAAGTCAGGGTACCTGCTTGGCCCATATAGTGAGGTCAGGGTACCCGCTTGGCCCATATAGTGAGGTCAGGGTACCCGCTTGGCTCATATAGTAAGGTCAGGGTACCCGCTTGGCCCATATAGTGAGGTCAGGGTACCCGCTTGGCCCATATAGTGAGGTCAGGGTACATATAGTAAGGTATAGTTAGGTCAGGGTACCGCTTGGCCCATATAGTGAGGTCAGGGTACCATATAGTGAGGTCAGGGTACCCGCTTGGCCCATATAAGGAGGTCAGGGTACCCGCTTGTCCCATATAGTGAGGTCAGAGTGCCAGGAAGTCTGAATGATGTAAGAGTTAGGATAAGAAGGGATATACAGCAAAACAAACAATACATAAATATAAAGACACCAACTAGGATACTGGGACATAACTCTGGAAGGTGAACAGCAACATAAGTGTACAACAAGGCAAGCCAGTGTGCAACTTGTAGGAGATGCCAGATGTAAAAGTTGCCATGTCGGGTGTGTTTATCCCTGGAGGGAAGGGCGTCCTTGTTACCAAAGGCAACGCTAGCACCAGACCACCTTTGTCCTGTAACACGTCCAGTATCTTGAGGTTATCTTGAGATGATTTCGGGGCTTTAGTGTCCCCGCGGCCCGGTCCTCGACCAGGCCTCCACCCCCAGGAAGCAGCCCGTGACAGCTGACTAACACCCAGGTACCTATTTTACTGCTAGGTAACAGGGGCATAGGGTGAAAGAAACTCTGCCCATTGTTTCTCGCCGGCGCCTGGGATCGAACCCAGGACCACAGGATCACAAATCCAGCGTGCTGTCCGCTCGGCCGACCGGCTCCCCGGTCGATGTGAAGTATAGAGTATATGTGAAGACATCACCTATGTACGCTCCCGTGTTCTCTCCCGTGTACACCGTGTCACTGTACACCGTGTCACTGTACACCGTGTCACTGTACACCGTGTCACTGTACACCGTGTCACTGTACACCGTGTCACTGTACACCGTGTCACTATGCTCGTACACAGTGACCTGTACTTGGAGACCTGTTTTGTGCTTTTTTGGTGCAGGACGTGTACTGACCTAGTTGTGCTTGCGGGGGTTGAGCTCTGGCTCTTTGGTCCCGCCTCTCAACCGTCAATCAACTCATGTACAGATTCCTGAGCCTATTGGGCTCTATCATATCTACACTTAAAACTGTGTGTGGAGTCAGCCTCCACCACATCACTGCCTAATGCATTCCATCCGTTAACTACTCTAACACTGACAAAGTTCTTTCTGTGGCTCATTAGAAACAATTTTTTTAAGTATGGCCGTGTGCTCGTGCAACGTGTGGAGGCGTGCTCGTGCAACGTGTGGAGGCGTGCTCGTGCAACGTGTGGAGGCGTGCTCGTGCAACGTGTGGAGGCGTGCTCGTGCAACGTGTGGAGGCGTGCTCGTGCAACGTGTGGAGGCGTGCTCGTGCAACGTGTGGAGGCGTGCTCGTGCAACGTGTGGAGGCGTGCTCGTGCAACGTGTGGAGGCGTGCTCGTGCAACGTGTGGAGGCGTGCTCGTGCAACGTGTGGAGGCGTGCTCGTGCAACGTGCGTGTCCGACCTCACGTACCATCTAAAGTTAAGTCAAATGTCAAGGGCGCCAAGATTCCATCGCTGGGTTGACCTGCGCACACTCCGCGCTTGTTGGCTGGTGTGTGCAGGCGCCGCCACCACAGAGAAGAAAAGCAACACACACGGGCACACACACACACACCTCCCCCCCTCCTCCCCTCTCCCGTCCACTCCATTGATAAAGGATGTCGAGTGACCTAAAATGTATTGAGGAAGGAGATCAATTGTTATTCTGGTGACTACATAGCCGTCTCTGGCAGTGAATGTTGATGTCCAGCTGCCCCCCCTCCCCCCCGCCACTACACCACACAAGTGTGTCAAGGAATACCACACATTACACCCAATCAACCGGTGATGATAACCATCAACCAGCCTGCAGCCGGACCCATCAAGGTCACCACCACCACCACCGTGTTGACCTACAAGACCCGGGTCTCCTCCACCGCGGGTCACCACACTTCTCTAATGTCCAGTAATGCCGACCCGTCTTTGTTTACATCCGCAGGTGTGTCGTAGCACACAGGTGGTGTGTCGTAGCACACAGCTGGTGTGTCGTAGCACACAGGTGGTGTGTCGTAGCTCACAGCTGGTGTGTCGTAGCTCACAGCTGGTGTGTCGTAGCTCACAGCTGGTGTGTCGTAGCACACAGCTGGTGTGTCGTAGCACACAGGTGGTGTGTCGTAGCACACAGCTGGTGTGTCGTAGCTCACAGCTGGTGTGTCATAGCTCACAGCTGGTGTGTCGTAGCTCACAGCTGGTGTGTCGTAGCACACAGGTGGTGTGTCGTAGCTCACAGGTGGTGTGTCGTAGCTCACAGCTGGTGTGTCGTAGCTCACAGCTGGTGTGTCGTAGCACACAGGTGGTGTGTCGTAGCTCACAGGTGGTGTGTCGTAGCTCACAGCTGGTGTGTCGTAGCTCACAGCTGGTGTGTCGTAGCTCACAGCTGGTGTGTCGTAGCTCACAGCTGGTGTGTCGTAGCTCACAGCTGGTGTGTCGTAGCACACAGGTGGTGTGTCGTAGCACACAGGTGGTGTGTCGTAGCACACAGGTGGTGTGTCGTAGCACACAGGTGGTGTGTCGTAGCACACAGCTGGTGTGTCGTAGTGTGTCGTAGCTCACAGCTGGTGTGTCGTAGCTCACAGGTGGTGTGTCGTAGCTCACAGCTGGTGTGTCGTAGCTCACAGCTGGTGTGTCGTAGCACACAGGTGGTGTGTCGTAGCACACAGCTGGTGTGTCGTAGCTCACAGCTGGTGTGTCGTAGCTCACAGCTGGTGTGTCGTAGCACACAGCTGGTGTGTCGTAGCACACAGCTGGTGTGTCGTAGCACACAGGTGGTGTGTCGTAGCTCACAGCTGGTGTGTCGTAGCTCACAGCTGGTGTGTCGTAGCACACAGCTGGTGTGTCGTAGCACACAGGTGGTGTGTCGTAGCACACAGCTGGTGTGTCGTAGCACACAGGTGGTGTGTCGTAGCTCACAGCTGGTGTGTCGTAGCTCACAGCTGGTGTGTCGTAGCTCACAGCTGGTGTGTCGTAGCTCACAGCTGGTGTGTCGTAGCACACAGCTGGTGTGTCGTAGCTCACAGCTGGTGTGTCGTAGCTCACAGCTGGTGTGTCGTAGCTCACAGCTGGTGTGTCGTAGCTCACAGCTGGTGTGTCGTAGCTCACAGCTGGTGTGTCGTAGCACACAGCTGGTGTGTCGTAGCACACAGCTGGTGTGTCGTAGCACACAGCTGGTGTGTCGTAGCACACAGCTGGTGTGTCGTAGCTCACAGCTGGTGTGTCGTAGCTCACAGCTGGTGTGTCGTAGCTCACAGCTGGTGTGTCGTAGCACACAGGTGGTGTGTCGTAGCACACAGGTGGTGTGTCGTAGCTCACAGCTGGTGTGTCGTAGCTCACAGCTGGTGTGTCGTAGCACACAGCTGGTGTGTCGTAGCACACAGGTGGTGTGTCGTAGCTCACAGGTGGTGTGTCGTAGCACACAGGTGGTGTGTCGTAGCACACAGGTGGTGTGTCGTAGCTCACAGGTGGTGTGTCGTAGCTCACAGGTGGTGTGTCGTAGCTCACAGCTGGTGTGTCGTAGCTCACAGCTGGTGTGTCGTAGCTCACAGCTGGTGTGTCGTAGCTCACAGCTGGTGTGTCGTAGCTCACAGCTGGTGTGTCGTAGCTCACAGCTGGTGTGTCGTAGCTCACAGCTGGTGTGTCGTAGCTCACAGCTGGTGTGTCGTAGCACACAGCTGGTGTGTCGTAGCTCACAGCTGGTGTGTCGTAGCTCACAGCTGGTGTGTCGTAGCTCACAGGTGTAACCTGCCCTCAAGCTCGGCTGGTTAAAGCCACGGCCGCCTCACTCCTCCAAGACGCAATCATCAGTTTTAACGTATTGCATATTAAAAATAGAACATAATAATTTAATTTTGAAGCCTATGTATAGTTAGGCGTAGGTTAAGTTAGGTTAAGTTAGGTGTTTAGGTTCTGTTGGCGAGTATTTATATTACACGGGTGAAGCATTACAGCGGTGCGGGTCGAGCAGCTGTTGTCCACGAAGCAGTGTTCGAGTCATCAGTTTAAGCCGTGTAACTCCTCGTCAAAGGCCAACTGCTCACTAATCCAGCCACTAGACCTTGTTTATGAATGAAAAACGGGTTTCACACGACTCAACAGATTACGTTCGCACATTTCTCTAACGATATGCGCAAGTAACGACTTCTGCTCGAACCACAACGCTGTAAATGCTTCACCCCACGGACTTCATATATAAATAATCGCCAACAGAGTCCAAACGCCTGACCTTACCTATGCTTAACTTTACATATAACTTTTATATATTACTTTATATACTAGAACAAACATCATTTTAATACGCAATATGTTAATATTAATGAATGCATCTTAGGGGTGGGCCGCCGCTTTAGCGAGCCTGGCCCGTGAGTAACTTGTTTACAGAGATGCGACTCGAACAGCGGTCGTCATCGAGGCACTCCAAGAGGTGGCACGGGCATGAATAACCCGTAGAGAATAAGGAACATTTGTCCTTCGTTTATGAGGACGGGCTGCCAGGAGCCACATGTGTCACACTCACCTGAGTGGCCAGACAGGTGTGGAGGGAAAGGTGACCTCAGTACTGGAAGGTGATGGCAGGTGTGGCCGTGGCCGCCTCGTCCACACTTATATAGGAACCGCTGACCTTGGGACGAGGAGGAGCAGAGGGAGGAGGTCCACCACCGCCACTACTCCTGCCCCGCCTCGCATCCTTCTTGTTCCAGTTACCTTGTAACTTGATTATTCTCACAGTTTTTAGTCTGTCGAGTCTGGCCGTAAAGTTGTGGATGAAGGTGACTTCCGCAACTTCTTCCAGTACTCAACCTGTCCTCTTAAAAAGAACGTCGCTTTTGGCCGTTTACCAGTATGGCCGAATTTGGACGTAATTTGAAAATGAAAAAATAATGAAAATAAATTTAGGATTTTTTTTCAACAACAGGAAGTTAATGGTCCTCTGATAGGTTAGGTGGGCAGGAAATTCTCATAAATTTTCAAAACGTTATGAAAAACGTGAATTGAAAGTCATCTATTCTAACCTTACAGAGTCGGCCGGACGACTCAAGCAGAAAACGGAACAGTACGTCACATTTGTGAGTCGATTTCATTTCAAATTACGTCCAAATTTGGCCATAGTGCCGCGCATACGAGCCAAAAGTGACGTTATTTTTAAGAAGACGGGTTGACCACCAGTACTGGGTGCCAGAAGACGGGTTGACCACCAGTACTGGGTGCCAGTATTTCCTTCCATTTCTTCGACTCGTGCGTTTCCATCTTCCACATATTATGTCCTCTTGTCTTACTTTCCTTCAATATAAAGAGACTCCTTCGACACCTTGTCTATTTCCCCCAGTACCTTGTATGTTGTGATCATAGCCACTCTTCAGACTATCTACTGCATACTAATGTGACTACTGACAGTCCTTATCCCTAGTCATTTTAATTACCTTATAGAAAACTTCTGTACCTTGAAATCTGCAGGTGTTAAATTAGTGGGCTGTGTTGATGATGCGACATTAGTCAGCACTTGTCCTTCACTTCTGAATAAAACACAAGATGCGCAACACCCGGAACACCCGGGCAGGTTTCTACACCTTCAACACCTCTATTGGGTTACACCTTCAGTATGTGTAGGTAACAACATATTAACCACAGGGCCGCGTCTAGGAGCGGGACACACTGTTAAGAATGATTTAGGAACAATCTCTTCGCTCCTTAGTGTAGTTGTTTTGTTTATTATTATTATTTTCTACCACAGACGTGGCCACACATTTACAATGCTAACCAGCATATATACATTTTCTTCTGTCCTCCATGGACAGGGTTAGAGATCAGTTAAACATATAGTTCAGAGATTTATTGATCAATCAACTACAGAAGGTGATTCGGTACTTTTAAAATGCTAAGCTAAACGCAGCCTCGCCTCGCTCTCCAGGCCTGTGGGCAACCGTTGAGGTTATTCAAGGGATGCAGCGTCATAACTATGGCTAACAGATGGACTAATCTACTAGACTTAAGACTGGACACCAAGCTAATAACCAAACTGGGTTAACAACAAAAAAGAAGACTTGTTGCCCGCCTGCTGACCAAGATATTTACTAGACCAAGAACCAGTTCACTCCATAATAATAATAATAAAAAAGTTTATTATTTTTATTATTTAAGAACAAGAGTTCTTACATTCTTGTAAAGCCACCAGCACGCGTAGCGTTTCGGACAAGTCCTTAATCTTATTTTCACCCGGCAATTGGGACCCGCCAAATGGTTTAACGTATCTATTCACTGCTGGGTAAAGAGAGGCTACCGTTAACGATTGGCGCCCAGTCAATCATGGTGTCTCACAAACCACCATATGAGTTTGGTGGCTCTCATGGTGATTTGTGGCTTATTTAGTTTGGTGGTTGATCTAAGTCATCACGATAGCTCACTAACAAACGTGCTGACCCGTTTTCTATTGGTGGGTCTAGTCTAGGTCATCAGTTTAGTGAAGTGACCGGTGGCGAGGGGCGGCCGGCGCCGACCACAACACTCTCCGGCCCTCTCACAATACTGAACCAGCAGTACTGCTCCACGCCACACTTGCCACACTTTCTCCCATGGCGGCGTCTCTGGTAAGTGAATGACGGGAAAAGTGTTGTATCACTGCTACTGTCTTGACAACGTGCCGTGACCACCGCTACCTTGATGGTTAGGGCCGACCGCTGGCCACCTGATATGACCACAGTACCGCTGGACGCCCTCGGGTATCTTGTGTTGAGATCGTTCCTCCTCCTCCTGCAGGAGCCCACCCTACCCCTCCTCCTGCTGCAGGAGCCCACCCTACCCCTCCTCCAGTAGTAGTAGTTCAAAGAGGTGTGACAAGTATTCCCGAGAATGGGTTAATAGATGTGCGAGAGCACTGTGTGCTGCCAGTCTGGAGCCAGATTCACGAAAGCACTTACGCAAGCACTCACGAACGTGTACATCTTTCCTCAATCTGTGACGGCTTTAGTTACAGTTATTAAACAGTTTACAAGCATGAAAACTTGCCATTCAACTGTTGTTATTGTTATAAACAGCCTCCTGGTGCTTCGGAGCTCATTAACTGTTTAATAATGGTAAACAAAGCCGCCAAAGATTGAGAAAAGATGTACAGGTTCGTCAGTGCTTGCGTAACTGGCCCCTGGCTGGTTAGGTGCGCCACTTGTACTACGGATGGGTACGGATATTCCTACTTTAACTACACTCCTGGCGTGTCTCGTGTATATCCGCGTATATAGGGCGACACCGAGGCTGTAGGGAATGCGAACACATCACACATTTTTAATGAACAATACGTAAAAATTATGAATGTGTCTTGTGGGACGGCTGTTGTTGTAACGAGCCTGACCTGAGGACAGGTTGTGCTGTAAACAGTTGAACAAGACAATACGTGCATTGAATATAATACTCATTATAACCATGCAGTAGCGTTTGTGCAACATTAGGGACACCCAGGAGCACGCAAGGACACGCAGGTACACCCAGGAACACTCAGGAACTAAGTTGACCATCTTGGGAGACCCACCGCAGATACGGGGGAGGGGGCAGAGGGTACGCATTGGCTCTTAATTGTATGCTTAGGAATGCCTTCTCGCCATGCCCTGTGGCTGGGAGGATTGGTGCCCTGAATAAACACCCTATACCCCCCCCCCCCCACGAAGTGGCACGGGGAGTTAGAGGACAACAATTACCTCAGCTTGTATACGCTCTCCTAAGCAACAGACGACGATACAAATTTGTAAGCGAGGCAGTTACCTGGATCACAGCAGCACGACTCGGCGTACAGTACACGAGTATCATGGAAATTCTATTTCGATATGAAAGTGATAGCATTATTGAAGGTGTGGAATACTGGCAGACACCCCTGGTAGTGTAGGTATGGGTGTAGGTGGTACTATGTTGGCTGGTGTAGGTATCCAGGCTTAGAAACGTTACATAAAGTGAGCTATCAAACACTTGCTTGCTTCCACTGTGGGAGGAGGGGGGGAGGTGTGGGGTGGAGAGTGACAGGTGTAGGGTGCGGCGATCACAGTTAGAAAGTGTTATTTTTTAAAGTTTGGTTGTTGTGGTAAGTTAGCCAGAAGTGACGTGTCCTTCAGAGACGTGATCTCTGTCTTTCACCAGAATGGAGCAGGTGTCACCTCCAGGACCCATTCTCTTCCTTCAAGGCTTAAATGATATTTATAAACTTTCAACGGAGGCTGACACTTACTGTTGTTGGTGACACTTTACAAGTTACAGGCAAGGACTGTGACATCCTTAACAACACGATAAACACAGAATTATACAAACTTTACAAACAGTGTGTAGCCATAAGACTTTCCCCTTAATGTTAACAAGACTTACTGGATGCTACTGCGTAGACGCTGGAACAATTCCCCCGGAGGAAGGGGTCAACTAGCGAGACAGTTGTCACTACTGACACCACGGCCGCTCCCCCGTCATGGCACACACCCCAAGGTCCTCACCACCCACTGACATCTCATTCCACAGTCTTACAGTCAAACATATTTAAAAAACGTAATAAAAGTGGCAAGAATGATAAAAGGCAGAGCAGACATGACGTCAGTGAAGCACTCTGCGGCCTGCACCAGCTGCCTTACTTTCCTCACACCAGTAAACTAAACTTGACACTGACCCCATCTCTTCTAAGCTGGCCGTCCTCCGCAGGGGGTTGTAATACATATATAATGAACTGCCTCTCGTTACACTCACTCAAACGGCGCTTCATATCACAATGTGTAAAAGTA